GTGCCCATTTTTTCAGCTATTTTACCATCATCAACATTTCATATAAAACTCAGAAGACATGTGTAGGTTCACTGGTGGTTTTGGATAGTAAAAAAAAAATTGGTTATATTTGTGTTGTAGTAGTTGTGTAGTTGTGTTCCAGTAGCTCCGTGTCTGCGTCTTCTGTTTTTTTTGTAAATAGCATCTTTTTACCCACTTTCTTTCTTTTCTGGATACCGAGACATGATTTAAAGTTGTTATACAACTTTTTAAACTTTTATTGACTTTTTAATGGATCACTTAATGATACTTTCAGACTTTGACTGCATTGCGCGCCCTCGCTTTGTCTACACAAGGAATCAGCTGATCGCGCTGCAGAAGCCAGTGGCTTTGTTACATCACAGCGGCCAGTGATTCCAGTGGAGCTGAGGCATCCTTACCGGGGCTGCAGAGCAGGAGAGAAACAGCGGGAAAAGAAGCAGAGATACAAACCAAATTTTCCTGCAATAATTATGGGGAACGTACAGTCACTGGCTAATAAAATGAACGAACTGTCTGCTCTAACACGGACACAATAGGAATACTGGGAATGCAGCACTATGTGATTCACAGAGTCATGGCTGAGCCTGTGCGTACCTGACTCTCATGTTCATCTGAATAGTTTTATTACTGTGAGGGCGGATAAAGACCACAAACAAACTGGTAAGAAGAAGGGAGGAGGGCTGGCTGTGTTTGTGAATAACAAATGGTGTAGTTCTGGTCACATCACGGTTAAAGAAGTCATTTGTAAGCCGGACATTGAACTGTGTGTTGTAGCTATGCGTCCCTACTATCTCCCACATGAGTTTTCCCACGCCATTCTGAGCGCTGTGTACATTCCACCTTGTGCTAACGCGGGCACCGCGTGTGACGTCAACATCAACCATTGTGAGGGTGCAAAACCAGAGCCCTAGTGCATTCATTGCAGTGTCTGAAGACTTCAACCATGTCTCTCTCTACATTTACATTTACATTTACATCATTTAGCATCATTGTCTCTCTCTCATCATGTCTTCCCACTTTCAGCCAGTTCGTGGACTGCAAGATGAGAGACTTTGGACCTGCTGTATGCCAATGTCAAATAAGCATATAAATCCACAGCTCTCCCCCCACTGGGTCGTTCAGACCATAATCTGGTTCACCTCAACTTATAGTATAAACCCCTGGCTCAGAGACAGGTAGTGACCACAAAGACAGTGAGGAAGTGGTCACCTGAGGCTGTAGAATCACTGAGGGGCTGTCTGGAGGCTACACAATGGGATGTCCTGTGTGAACCACATGATGAGGACATTGATGCAATAACATCATGCATTACTACATAAACATCTGTGTGGACTCTGTTGTACCCTCCAGGAATGTCTGATGCTTTCCGAACAACAAACTCTGAGTCACTAGTGACTTAAAGTCTCTGCTGAACCAGAAGAAAAGAGCATTTATGGCAGGAGACAGGGAGGAACTGAAAAAGGTACAAAAAGAGCTTAAAACTTCAATTAAGAAGGCCAAAGAAGAGTACAAGTCCAAGCTGGAAAACAAACTAGAGCTGAATAACACTTCTGATGTCTGGAGAGGCCTAAAAGACATCACTGGCTTCAACCAATGCAGCCCTATTCCAGCAGAGGGTAAGTGTGAATGGGCAAATGAGTTAAACCAGTTCTTTGTGCAGTTTGACAATGGCTCCTCTCCTGCTCGATTGTGTCTATCTCCTACACAGATTAACACACCTCTACAAATATGTCATGGTCCATCCACAGCCTCACCTTCCTCCACCACAGCCATTGACACCTGTGACCATCAGCAACCACTGTCTGCAATGGATGCCACTCACCCACCCCCCACAACTGGAACGTCCAGTGATGATACATTCACTGCCAATCAGGTGCAGTTATCTGCCTGCTGGACAGAACATACTCTCACCTGGACACATCAGGCAGCACTGTGAGGATCATGTTCTTCCATTTCTCCAGTGCATTCAACACCATACAGCCTGTGCTGTTAGGGGAGAAGCTATGGCTGATGAGGTGGATGAATCTATCATCTCATGTATAATGGACTATCTGACTGGACGACCCCAGTATGTGCGACAGCAGGGCTGTGTCTCAGATATGGCTGTGTGCAGAGTTGGGGCACCCGAGGGGACTGTGTTAGCTCCATTCCTGTTCAACCTGTACACCTTTGGCTTTAGGTACAACACAGAGTCGTGTCATCTGCAAAAATTCTGTGACGACACAGCCATTGTGGGTGCATGAGGAATGGACAGGAGGAGGGATACAGGAAGCTGGTGAAGGACTTTATTGACTGGTGTAAGCTGAACCAGCTGCAGCTAAACATCAGTAAGACTAAGGAAATGGTGCTGGACTTTTGGAAGTCCAAACCTGCCTTGTCACCAGTCACCATTGATGGAGTTGATGTGGAGGTGGTCGGGACCTACAAATATCTGGGTGTGCAATTGGACAACAAGCTGGACTGGAGCTGTAACACTCTTGCAGTGTACAAGTGAGGCCAAAGCCATCTCTACTTCCAGAGGAGGCTGAGGTCTTTTGGTGTGTGGCATTAAGCTCCTATGGACATTCTACCAGTCTGTTGTAGCGAGTGCTTTATTCTATGCTGTTGTGTGCTGGGGCAGCAGCATTAACAAAAGTGCTCTGAACAAATTAAACAAACTTTTTTAGGAAGGCTGGCTCTGTTGTATGAGTCAAGCTGGACTCTTTGGAGGTTGTGGCAGAACAGCGGACGCTCAACAAGCTGTTAGCCATATTGGATAACACCTTACACCCTCTGCATGCTACACTGGATAAACAGAGAAGCACATTCTGTGGCAGACTGTTACAGCTGCGCTGTGTTAAAGAGCGCCATGTGAGATCTTTCTTACCCACTGCTTTTCAACAAGTCTCCTTACTGCAGAGATGGTACTGATCTCTTGCTGTCTGAACTGTGCTGAACCACATTACTGTATCTCCTCTCCGATAAATATCCACTATGCAGTATATCATAACTACTACTGTAATGACACTTTCACTATGCACTTTACACTGTAATATTGATGCAACTCCGAGTTAGTTATTTCTGCACTCACTGTGCTTTTAGTTTACCTCATACAACAAATCTGCCTCATATGCCATGTAAATGTGCAAATAGATATACTTTTATTTTATTTCTCTTGTACTTTAACTTATGTCTAGGTTTATCTGTCTGTCTCAATCTACGTTGATCCATAGTTCTTATCACCACCACTTTAAAGAAATCTGCAAGTTTTTCTAAAAGTCCCTGTTTTACATCAAACTCTGAATGACCTTTCTACCTCTCAGTGATTAATTGTACAGAAATGTTTAAAAATCATTGGAATCTGCAGCGAATCTGTTTTCACTTTCAGTTTTCAGTAAGCCATCTACTTTATTTGCAGAAGATCCTTTTCTAGGCAGTTAACATCTTTGAGAAAAGTTGAAGGTAGAAGGTCAAGACAGCAGGAGAACTGTTTTAAGTTTTTAAGAATTTTGCCATTGATAGCGCTAAATTGAGATAAATCAGACTAAATTGTTTCTGTCCAGAGTTACGTATGGGGCAGCATTTTACAGCCACAAGGTCTTTATGGTACATATATCTGATATTTATTATTTTGTCTCAAAAAAAAAATTCATTTGTTGACTGAGAGTAGTTCAGGAGCTATGACTGCAGAAGGCTTTATTAATCTGTCCACAATGGTGTATGTTTTTTTTTTTATACATGTTTTTATTAATGTTGTCCAAAAAAGGAACAGTTGTTTGGACTTTTTTAACTCTAGATTATAGTTTGGAAGACTTGTAAAGGTGCCCAAGTTTTCTGTACTCCTGTTTTTGCTGTAGTGTTTCTCCATGGAGATTTCTGCTTGCCACACTTTTATTTATCTTTACAGGACCAGTACATCATCATAATTTTTGAGGAGAGTATTAATAGAGTTTGATTCTATATTTGGAGTCTAAAATAATTGATTAGAATGTTAACAAGGGATCTATATTGAGTAGAGTTGCAGATTTGATAGATTGACCCAATCATTTCTGAACATCATGACTTTTGGGCTATTGATCAAACCCATTGTAAAGACAAGACAAGATAGCAGCTGTGTTTTTCTCCCTTTATTTAGCTTCTTAATTGATCTTCTTCAGTGTTTGAATGTGAAAACATCCTCCACAGTATTACCCCTTGACTAACCAAAATTCATGTTTGTGAATCAGCTAATCTACATGCAGTTATATTAGCCTGATATCTTTAGTGTTTGAAAAGTGATGAGATAATGAACAGAATGGGTGAAAAGTCCAGGAAATTTCATGATTTTGACAGCACTTATTTTCCATAATTTTTCCAGGCCTGGAAAAACAAATTTCTATTTTCCATAGATTTTTCCAGGATTTTCATGACTACTCTTTTTCCTGTTGTACAGATATGAACACAGCAAGCGAGCTAACACCACTTACTAATTTGCTAATGCTAATTTTAGCATTGGTGAGGATAAAGTCACCAAGCACTTGTACATGACCAAGAAGTGCACCGGATTGTAAAATAATAAAAATATTTTTGTGCCAATCGCCATTTCCAAAACTGTTGTTTTATAAAGTTACATGTATTTGCAAATATAATATTAGTTCAGAAGTTTGAAAGCTTGCACTATTAGCATGTATGCTATCAGCTAGAGAAAGAGCTGTTTTTGCTGTTTTCGAAAATTAACTTATATTCTACAACTACTAATACAAATATTTGCAATTATTATTTGTAACAGTAGTAGTGGTAATATTAGTGATTATATATATATATATATATATATATATATATATATATATATATATATAAAGTATATATATATATCTTGTTAGATAGATATCCTTTATTATACAATGCAGATGATGGTGGTCCATCAAAACTATGCTTGCCTAGTCTTGTTAAAATTGGACTTCAGACACACTCTAATTTGACTGAATGTGCTCCAACTGGTTTTCTCTTTCTGAGGAAAAGGAAGTTGCAACTAGTTTATCATTCAAACTCCAATAGAGAAGCATGAGAGAAGAGTGTGTATACAGGTGTGTGATATAATAAACTGGTCTACTGCGAGAAACTACAGTATTAAAATAGAGACGATGTGATTATATATGACCTGATGTGTGTCTCAGCTGTAGGACTGGAGATCCTGATAAAGACGGAGCTGAACTTTTCTAACTGAAGACTCTGAAAGACTCTGAAGACTGACCTCAGAAACAGGTAATTGGTGGATATTATTACTAATTTTACTGCTTGTGTATTTGAATTTCAGTGTAAAACACTCTCAAACTGAACTGAGGTTAGAGAGGTAAAGTTTTCAGTTCAGTGAGTCATGTGATCAGTTGATGAAATGTCTACATAGGAACATGAACAGGTCCTGTGTTTTCCAGTTCTGATTGTTGCCTTCTCATTTTGTATTTATCTTTCAGTTTCAAACTGTGTTTTGCACAGTATGTTTAGTGCTGAGGTTGTGTAAGCTTTAATAAGAAGACTACACCTGTAAGTTGTTAGTAAGAGATATTCTGTGACAGTGATATAAGCACAGTAGGGTCATTATCTATCTTTGACTACATTTTATATTTCAAAATGAAACTTTTGATTTGTCTCAAGCAACACATCAGCCTGAATCAAAATAGCCATTTCTTCATCACTTCAAAGTGACTCCTGATGCTGTAGTTTCAAACTACTGACTAGAAAACACTATTGAGCACCTTAAAGCCCCAGTCAGAGGTCAGTTAGGATGGTTTTCAGTACTAAACTGGACTGCAGACTTTCAAATAACAGCAACACGTTCACTAAAACCTTCATCATGTGCATCCTTGTGTGTATCCTTCTAGGAATAAGCAGTGCCATAATTCTGTTCAGTTAATCTGCAGCATTTGGAGAACTAGGTGGAAAAAACACTGCAGCACATTTATGACTTTCACTGTGCAGCTAAAGGTCGTTTTAGGTTGAAATGCTGTCCAAAAAGACTGATACCAATGTAACTTCTGAGGCAGTGTCTCTCTCTTTCATACACCCACACTCACACACACACACACACACTTCATTTGTATCTTTGATGAAGTGTTAAACCGGTTACTTTCATCTTTCATTCAGAAACTGAACTGGAGCCAAAGAATGTGAATCACTACTGACAACAAAAACAACATCCACCCCCCTCCCCCCTACCCCACCTCTCTTTCTCTCTCTCTCTCTCTCTCTCTCTCTCTCACTCACACACACACGCACACACACACAACCCCATTCTCTCACTCTCTTCTCTTTGCATAAAACATTTTTATTAATAAAATTCTGCACAAATTAGTTCACTTTTTTCTATTTACCAGCATAGTTTGATCTCACTGTCAGTTCAGTCAGTCCACTATAGACATTCTCTGACCGCATCAAACTTCTAAACACAGGTAACTATGTATCTCCCTGTCTTTCTCCCTTTCTCTCTCTCTCTCTCTGTCTCTGAAAGTATTAAAGTCCTCAGCCACTCCTGCATGCGGAATGTAGTTGTGTGGAAAGTGAAACTGGTTTTTGTTTTTCTGATGAAATGTATTAACAGTTTTCTGCACAATCCATACAAACATGATATGTAAATTGTATTTGTGAGTGAGAATGTGGGTAAACATAGAACTTCTCCTACCATACAGACACAGAATCCATGGGTGGTAGAAAAGTGGAATCACAGCTAAACCTGAGATACACAATTATTGTCCACCATTTCATAGTAACTGACGGAATGAGGTGAAGACAGCTGACATAGATGACAGCTTTAGCTAATATGGGTTGTGCTTAGGACATATTTTTTTGGCAAGGCATTTTAGTATAGCTTTTCAATTTCTTCATATCAGAAACTGAAATTCAGTGTGAACAAGTGCAACATTATTACTACTAGTATAAAATGAAAATGAAATGTTACAAATTAAATTAAACTTTTACTACTAATAATTGGAATTTATTTGAATTTCAGTTTAAAACACTCAAACTGAACTGAAGTTAGAGAGGTAAAGTTTTCAGTTCAGTGAGTCATATGATCAGTTGATGAAATGTCTACATAGGAACATGAACAGGTCCTGTGTTTTCCAGTTCTGATTGTTGCCTTCTTGTTTTGTATTTATCTTCAGTTATGTAATGTTTCAATTAAAGTAAACTTTTACTACTAATAATTGGGTTCTTGTGTGAAACATTCACCTAGCAGAAGTCAGAATTTATGGCTTTTCCAAATTCATTTTCAGGAAACCGTAAGAGTTCAATTTTAATATTTGGTAATTGTCAGAAGTAAAAATTAGACATGTTGAAATCATTAAGTAATTAATGTCTGACCTGAATTCCTACTAGTGAAAAATAAACAAACACATGTTTAAATTAACTTATAATTTTGTACATGTAAGAAAGGAAAGTACTTTTATATGTAAGAGTTAATGTAAAGGTTGGGACAGTATGTAAAATGTAAATAAAACAGAAAGCAGTGATTTGTAAATCCACTTTGACTTTTGACTTTTAAGTCAAGATATTTAATGTTTTGCTTTCTCAACTTCATCATTTTTTAAAACATATGCACATACTGAAATTGATTCCTTCAGCACATTCCAAAAAAGTTGGATCTGAGACAGTGTAAGACCAGAAAGGCAAAACAAGTAAATTCATAAATGATGTTGAAAGATTTACTATTAGCTTATTTTTTTTTTCATATGGTTTCAATATTTTTACAAGTAGAATGAGAAATGGACTTAAGCTTGACCTTCATCAGCATTCTTACTGTGACACATTCCATGTAGAACAGCTGTGCTTTGTATTATAACTGCTGCATGAAAATAATATTTTACAATACATAAATAAGTTATCAGCAGAAACTACAATATTTATATTAAGACTGTTGAACTCTGTTTGAATGTTTAACCAAAATATATTTGAGATTAAAATTAAAATACAGGTATAAAGCACTTACCTACGTTATTAGTTATCACAATTTTTAGTCCCTTAAAAAAGTTTGGGTCTTTTGGGATTTAATCTAAATATGGCAAACGTGCCTTCCGCCCAATGACAGCTGGGATAGGCTCCAGCACCCCACCGCGACCCAGACGTTATTGAACTAATGCACACACACACACACACACACACACACACACACACACACACACGTTTGGAAGATTTTGATTTGACTTAATTTACTTACTTGATATAAAGTAATTAAAATGTGCTCCAACTGTTTTTTTTTCCATAAATAAAAATGGATATTGTAGATTTACAAACCTAATTCAAAAAAGTTCAGACGTAGTAGGTAAAATGCAATAAAAACAGGAAGCAGTGCTTTGCAAACTGTCTTTTATGGGTATTCAGTTGTAAAGAGCACAAAGAAGAGATACTTAATATTTTATGGAATTTATTGATTTTAAACATAACCTAATTCCAAATTGGATGCTTGCAAATAATTCCAAAAAATTTCAAATGTCAATGTAAAGGCCATGACACATTAATTGTAATGTGAATTTTGCAAAGTTTTTGAGCCACAAAAGAAAAAAAAAGGACTGAATATCTATCAAAAGGTCCTTTGCTTCTCACAAAATGGGTAAAGCGTGACATTGTGAAGGATGCTTTCCACTTTGGAAAACCGAAAAGAGAGATTATCCATCTCATTGAGGTGCTTAAACAAAGTCCTTCATAAAGTCTTTAGCTTAAATTTTATGAACTCTTTCGCACACAGCTCAGATCTCTGTAACTCAGTTTGAGCTGATTTTGGTGATGCAACTCCAAACAAGACAAAGCACAAAGCAAACAGGCTGAATGTCTTCATGTAGAGATAATATATTGTTTGCTCAGAACAGGCACTGGGCTACTTTCCATTTTGGAAAAGTGAAAGTATAGTATGAAGAGCTTCACTGCTTCAATAAGGTGCAGAAACTGAGTGCTTCCAAATATAACTCAATGTTTGTAGCCCAGTTTGAGCGCTGCTTGAGCTGCTTTTGGAGATTCTGATTTGTGAAAATGTGCCAGCTGTCGGAATACAGCCAACTCTTCACCTTGGTTGTCTCCATACCAACACCAGAGATGACCATGATTGGTCAGCGAGTTCAGGTTGCTGACGAAAGTTTGCAAAAACTGAACAGAAGTCAAATAAAATAATGTTCTTGCCTGAAAAATCACGTTTGGTTTCCAAGATATTTTCAGTTATACACATGCTCGGTTTAATGTTCTGTCGTCCGAATAAATCATACAAATAAACCATGTTTGGTGTGTAAAGGCCTTAAGACTGGAAAGTCTGTGGAATGATCAAAACACATTTTGGTACTTTTCACAGGTAAACAGATGGAAAGATAACAGACGATGCTTTCATGATTGAGTATAAAAAGAGCATTCACGAAAGGCACAGTCGAACAATGTTTTTCAGTGCACAATTGCAAGGAATTTAGGAATTTCACCATTTACAGTCCATAAAAGATTCAGAGAATCCGGAAAAATCTCTGTGGATAATAGTCAAGGCCAAAAGCCAGTACTGATTGCTGATTACTAAACTTATATGCATATGTGTGTGTGTTTGTGTACACTACTGTGCAAACATCAAAGACTACCCTTCATTTATTTAATTTTCAGCCAAAATGGCCGTTGACGCTATGGGTCTGAAAGGATGTGTAGCTGTCAAGAAGCCCTCAATGAGAAAAGGAAACAGATACATTAAACAAAAAAGATGCAGGTGTTCTCAAAACAATGGACAGACCATTCCAGAGTCCAGACCTCAGACCTCAGCATCACTGAATATGTTTGGGATTACTTGTAGAAAATACGACCAACTTCCAAGACTGAACTTTGGACATGTGGAAAAATATCCTAGCAGATTTCTTTGAAAAACTGAAATTGAGCCACCTGAAAAGAATGAAAGCTGTAATATATACAAAGATACCAAATACTGATACTACTTACTGAAAAAATTGATGTTATACATATTTGAAGTAATTTCCTCTCAAATATGTGTTTTCTGTTTTTTTGTGATTCTGAAAAATGCATAACTTGTACTTAATGGCAGTTTTGACTGAAATTTACATAAATGGTAGTCTCTGACTTTTACATATTATTGTACCATTTCTTCAAAGTGGGTTGAGGAAAACAATAAAGCAAATGTACAGACTACCTTTAAAACATCTCTGCAAGTTTACTACATTAAAGTTTACCTATAAGAAATGTATGTTGAAGTTTCAGGAATAAATAGTAGAAAATCTATTCAAACTGTCTTTCAGGGATGATGTTTCTCTGTGTGATGCTACTGATTTTCTCTGGCTTTATGGAGACCATGTCAGGTATGTGTGCTCTATCCTATAAAAATAGGGAAAAAACCTACTCTACTAGAACAGGGTAGCACTTACAGAATAATGTGACAAAAAAACAGGAAATAATATGGATGTTTTGTATATACAATATTTTCATATACATATATATTGTTAAATGGTTTTCATCGCGTTATTATTTTGTTATATATCATGTTTGTTTTTTATCTCTGATTGCAGAGAACTTTAAGGTAGTTGGTCCAGCTGCTCCTCTTGTTGTTGAAATTGGTGAAGATCTGGTTCTGCCCTGTTCTCTTCAACCCAACATCAATGCTGTGGATATGACAGTGGAATGGATTAGACAAGATCAGACTGATACCAACAACCTAGTGCATCTCTATGAAGATCATGATGACAGAAATTATGATCAGATGGAGTCCTATCGAGGACGAACAGCTCTGTTTAAAGAAAAGCTACAGAAAGGAAACACCTCACTGAAACTTTCAGCAGTCCAACGTTCTGATGAGGGAGCTTACAAATGTTTAATTCAGGACAAATCCTACAACAACGCCATTACTGTTTATGTTGAAGTCAATGGTGAGAGATAACAGTTTTAGTACTGAGCTTATTTTGGAACAGAAACCAACAAGACAACATTGTCAACTACTATAATACAAATAAACATTTAGTAACATATCAAGGAAGTGAAAAGTAGATCTGATATCTGACAGATATTTTGATGACAGAGAGAACAGAGACAGAGACTCTATTATTGTGTTATTATTTAATAAGTGTCAAAAGTTATATGTTTACAAAGTAAAGGCAGGGGAAGCCAAGATTCATTTTGGCAGAACTTCATAGTTATAAAATATGTTATAGAAGTAAAAAATGTAAATTAGTTAAAAAGGTAAAATGAGAAATTACTATGGTCCTTAAAGTAAAATCAGCAGTATATTATTCTATGCAAAACTTTGGGCATCCCTGGACAAATTATATATTTTGCTGATCTTCGAAGTGAAATGATTTGAACATAATATACATGCATGTACAGGGAGATTCACTCAATAGAGGCCCCAAATATTTTGTTGTAACTCCCATTAGGATGAAGCATACATACATACATACATACATACATCATCTAAACCGCTTATCCTTCTGGGTCGCGGTGGGGTGCCGGAGCCTATCCCAGCTGTCATTGGGCGGAAGGCAGGATACACCCTGGACAGGTCGCCAGTCCATCACAGGGCAAACATACAGACATACACATTCACACACTCACCCACACCTAGGGGCAATTTAGCATGTCCAATTAGCTTAACTGCATGTTTTTGGACTGTGGGAGGAAACCAGAGTACCCGAAGGAAACCCACGCAGACACGGGGAGAACAGGCAAACTCCGCACAGAAACGACCCTGGTCGCCCGGCTGGGAATCAAACCCAGGCCATTCTCGCTGTGAGGCAACAGCGCTACCCACTGTGCCACCATGCTGCCCTAGGATGAAGCAATCTGAACCAAAAAAAATACGCTAACTGATGCCTAAAAAGCTAGGAAAACCTATGCGTTATCTATCAATATCAAAGCACTTGTTATTAATGTCATTAAGAAATGGCAGTTAAGGAGAACTATGGAAGTCAAGGCAAGACCTGGAAGATCAAGAAAACTCTCAAATGGAACTGCTTGTATATTGACCACAAAGACAAAGCAAAACCCCCAGATGACAGCAAAGGACCTGCAGAAAGGCTTGAACTAACATAGGAATGGTAGTGCACTGTTCTACTGTGCAGCACTGCTTGCACAAACATGATCTGCATATAGGAGTCATCAAAAGGAAACCTTACGTGTGACCACAACAGTGAATGTCTGAAGTGTGCAAAATACCATCTTGAAAAGCCAGAGACATTTTGAAAGAAAATGTGGACTGACAAAGTAAAAATGGAACTCTTTGGCCATATGCAGAGTTAACAAGTGGGAACATAGTTGGAAAAGATATCTTTTTTGGCAAATCTCTGCATGTTTTATTATAGAGACCGTAAAGTTATTGAATATGAAACATCATATCTCAGTGTTCATTTGATTGATAGGTAAAATTCGGCGTCGCAAGACATTGACCCTCCGGTTTGCTCCACCACTTTCCAAACAGGGAAAGACAATCTCTAACCAATCAAAGCCCTTGCTATATTTCAACTATGGTTGCAGTGAAAGTGTAAAATTGTTTGCAGCAATAGGCTGTAAATTTAAATTGCTAGGAAGCCCCAAACTTATCTGGCCCATTTGACCTGACTTAAAATGTAAAGGTTAGATTAGTACTATAATCACCTAAAGATTCACTTAAGCATCTTTTAAAGACCTATGATTTGCATTCTTAAACACCATATCCAAAACAGCACCACTTTTAAACTATTTAAGGATGCCCAGGACAAATATTTCACATTATATTTACATTTATTATATTTATCATATTTATTACATTTGAGTTCAGACATCAGTAAGGATGCATACATTTATGAAAATCTATTGATAATTACAGGGTTGCATTGTAACGGAATGCATGTAACAGCATTATATACAAAATACAAAAAAAAGATAACAGTGATCAACATCAGATTACAGGTACATTATACATCAGAGTGGTTACAAGGAGCTTTACATTCAAGCCACAAGCCTCTGAATGAGCCATGTATATTTAAAAAGTTTTTAACTTTAGGAAGAGATATCTGAAGAAGAACCCCTCACAAGCAGTAGTTCACTGTCTTTTATTCAACCAGTTAATTGAAATTTTGTTAAGTATAGGCAGAACTAAGATCTGATGCATTTTTCTGAATTAAGTACAAGTTATGCATTTTTCAGATATCTGAATCAGGCGTTTACCCTAGTTTTCTATTTCACCACATTTTACAGTAGCAAACTGATCTGGTAGTAAACTCTTTTATTCTCGGTTGTTGCTACATGGAGTTCTACAGTTTGACTAGTTACAATCAAACTTTTGCTAATGTGCTGAAGTGAGTTAATGTTAACTAAGTGAGCAGTAAAGTTGGTTTCATTTTGCATATATGATTTCTATCTTAAATAGTATGGGAAAATTAACAGGTGCAAAAATGTGTAAATTATTGTTTGTAACCAACAAGCACATGCTGTTTAGCAGATAGAAAACAGAGGATGGCTAGTCAGTGTTTTTAGAATGGCTTCTATTTGTAATTACTGATGAGAAGGGGTCTCGAAAGTGGTCTATCAGATTGACTTTTTGACTTTGGTAATAAGTCTTCCAACCATTTAAAAACACATTTTTGAGCACAGGGAGCTTTGAAAAATAATTAACTGCACAGGTTGTGTTTACTTCTTTTCACTTTAAATGTACTAAAAATGTAATTTGTCCAGGGGTGCCCAAACTTCTGCTTTTGCCAGCCATATAGTACAATAGTGAAATCAAGTGATCAGTGTGCTATGTTGCTCTTGCTTAGGTATACAATGATATTATTCAAAAAAGTGCAATAGAGTTAGAAGTGCTACACTGGAAGTTAAAGGGAAATTCCACTGAAAATCTCTGCATAATTAAATGATTAACATGTAAACAAAGTCATTTAGAGTGGTTTGATATGAAATCCTTCATTTTAGAGAAACTTACAGACTCAGAATTGTCCACAGTGGTAGTGATAGGAGCCAGATGTCCAAAGAGTTTAGTGCCTCTAAAAGCTCCTCCACAGAAAGTTATTACATGAAACATATGAATATGCTGCCTGATGTTTGAGACATTGTTTTACAATAGTTTTGAGAAAGTTTTGGCCTGAAACATTTTTGAATAATTTAAGTTCATGGGGGAGAGTTAAATGCAGAGTGTTGACCTCCAAAAATCTTTTATTTTAAGATTTATCACTATTTTACCATCATGAACATTACACATAAAAACTCAGAAGACATATGTAGGTTGAGGTGGTTTTGGATAGCAAATAAAATGGCTATATTTGTGTTGTAGCCATGGTGACCCCCGGTTCCTACTAAAACTGTGAAGAAATCTGAGTAGTGAGAATATTTTCTACAATGAACCTTTTCACATCAAAACACTGACTTTGTTTACATTTCGACAACTAAATTAGGCAGACATTTCGAAAACTTGGTGGAATTTCCCTTTAAGATGGGAGAGTAGCTGGAGAAAATGGAAGCATAATTTTGACTTATATTTATGTATTTTTTCTTTCTAGTACATTTTAAAATTGTTGGTGCAGCTGCTCCTCTTGTTGTTGAAGCTGGTGAGGATCTAGTTCTGCCCTGTTCTATCAAACCCAGCGTCAGTGCTGAGGATGTGATGGTGGAGTGGTCCAGACTGCATCTGGGTGATAGACTGGTGCATCTGTATGAAAATTATGAAGACAGAAATTATGATCAAATTGAGTCTTATAGAGGAAGAACAGCTCTATTTAAAGAAGAACTGAAGAAAGGAAACACTTCACTGAAGCTCTCAGCATTGCGACTTTCTGATGAAGGAGCTTACAAGTGTTACATTGGATCCTTCTTAATGAAAGATGATGTAATTATTTATGTTGAAGTTAAAGGTAAGGATTATCATGATTTCAATGTATCATTGCTTATGAATCATACATTTGCAACAAAAGAATTAATTCATCTTTGTAGTAATTTTTGGCCAACTGGTAATTACAGACAGTATTTCAATTACTTGAAGTGATGTTTTGGCAAAATAAATCTAATTTACACAATTTCCCACTTACCCCAGATGTATGGTGTCCAAATTTTGCTTCTTTAGTTAAGTGCTGGGAATACAAGGGTAAAGTTGCTAACAAACACTAGAAGTCAATAGTCACCAAAATCTTTTCTGTAAACTTTTCCAGTGAATACATATGGAGAATTCTCACTTGTGTATAAATGGGATTATTTTGTAAAATGTATTTTTTTGCCAAACCGTTCTTTTAAATCTAATACATGAAATTATTTCAGTATTGCAAACATTTTGTATGTGAGACAGTGTCAGGAGGGTACAAAATATAGAAAAGCTGTACTCAAATAAAAGTACAGGTACAGTGTCAACATCTCACACAGTTAAAAGTAGAATTATGGAGCTGATCGCACACTGATCGCACACTGCATAACACAGACGTTGTTTTCACATTAAGTGTTCACATTAACTAGTGTACTTGTTACAACTAAAACATGATATACTATGTTAATAAAATATAATGGCAATTACAACCCCATTTCCAAAACACTGGGACGCTGTAAAGAATGTAAATAAAAATACAATGCAATGATATGCAAATCATGTAAACCATATTTTAAAGGAAAATAGTACACATAGGCGACATTTCAAATGTTGAAACCGAGAAAGTTCATTGTTTTTTTGAAAAATATATGCCCATTTTGAATTTGATGCCAACAATACTTTCCAAAAACGTTGGGACATGGGCATGTTTACCACTGTGTTTCATAACCTCTTCTTTTAACAACACTCTGTAAGCGTTTGGGAACTGAGGAGACACTGCTGTAGTTTTGAAAGTGAAATGCTTTCCCATTCTTGTTTGATACAGGATTTCAGATGCTCAATAGTTCGGGGTCTCCTTTGTTGTATTTTTCATTTCATAGTGCACAAAATGTCATCACTGGGTGACAGGTCTAGACTGCAGACAGGTCAGTTTAGCACCTGGACTCTTTTAATACGGAGCCATGCTGTTGTAATACATGCAGAATGTGGTTTGGCATCGTCTTGCTGAAATAATCAAGGCCTTCCCTGAAAATGATGCAGTATTGATGGCAGCATACAGTGGAGGAAACAAGTATTTGATCCCCCACTGACTTTAAAAGTTTTAATACAAAAAAATAAATGAAACATCTCATAATTTTATGCCAGCTTTATTTTAACAGTAACACATATCAAAAGAAAAACTGAGAAAATTACATGAAATGAGAAATAAAAATTAATTTGAATTTCATTGAAGGAAATAAGTATTTGACCCCCTAGTAAAACATCATTTAATACTTGGTGGCAAAACCCTTGTTGGCAAGCACAGCAGTCAGACATTTCTTGTAGTTTTTATAAGGTTTGCACACACTTCAGGAGTAATTTTGGCCCACTCCTCTCTGCAGATCATCTCCAAATCCTTAAGGTTTTTAGGCATGCATTTGGAAACGCGAAGCTTCAGCTCTCTCCATAGATTTTCTATGGGATTGAGGTCAGGAGACTGGCTAAGCCATTCCATGACCTTGATATGCTTCTTATGGAGCCACTCTTTGGTTTCCTTGGCTGTATGTTTTGGGTCGTTGTAGTGCTGGAAGACCCATCCATGACCCATTTTCAGTGCCCTGGCGGAGGCAAGGAGGTTGTCACCCAGGATTTTACGATACATGGCCCCGTTCATCTTCCCGTCGATGCGGTGAAGTTGGCCTGTGCCCTTAGAAGAAAAACACCCCCAAAACATAATACTTCCACCACCATGCTTGACGGTGGGGATGGTGTTCTTAGGGTCATATTCTGTATTTTTCTTCCTCCAAACACGTCGAGTTGAGTTGAGGCCAAAGAGCTCAATTTTGGTCTCATCTGACCACAGCACCTTCTCCCAGTCTCTCTCGGAGTCATTAATATGTTCATTGGCAAGCTTGAGGCGGGCCTGGACGTGAGCCTTCTTGAGCAGAGGAACCTGGCGTGCACTGCAGGATTTTAAACCATTACGTCTCAGTGTATTACCAATGTTTTTTTTGGAGACTGTGGTCCCAGCTGCCTTGAGATCATTAACCAGCTCCTCCCGTGTAGTTCTTGGCTGATTTTTAGCCTTTCTCATGATCAATGAGACTCCACGAGGTGATATCTTGCATGGAGCTCCAGGCCTAGGTCGATTGACAGTAATGTTGCACTTCTTCCACTTCCGAATAATTGCACCAACAGTTGTCACCTTCTCACCCAGCTTCTTACTTATGGCTTTGTAGCCCATTCCAGCCTTGTATAGGTCAACAATTTTGTCCCTGACATCTTTAGACAGCTCTTTAGTCTTGCCCATGGTGGAGATGTTGGAGTGTCACTGAGTCTGTTGGCAGGTGGCCTTTTATACAGGTGACAATTTGGGACAGGTGTCTCTCATGCAGGTAATGACTTCACTGAGATTAGGGTGTGTCAGTGGTATGTGGGAGCCAACATTAGTCATGGTTTTTAGGGGATCAAATACTTATTTCCCTCAATGAAATGCAAATTATTTTTTATTTAAATATTATTTAATTTTCTAGATTTTCTTTTTGATATTCCATCTCTCACTGTTAAAATGAAGCTACCATAAAAATCATAGACTGTTTAATTATTTGTCAGAGTACAAACTTTCAAAATCAGTGGGGGATCAAACACTTATTTCCTCCACTGTATGTTGCCAAAACGTGTTTATATTGTTCAGCATTAATGGTGCCTCTATGTGCACGTCACATGCACCCCTATACCATCATGAATACTGGCTTTTGAACTGTGCACTGACAACAAGCTGAGTGGTCTTTAGCCCAGAGGACACAGTGTCCATGATTTCCAAAAAGAATTTCAAATTTTGATTTGTCAGACCACAGACCACAGCACACACAGTTCCCCTCAGTCGATTTTAAATGAGCTCAGGCTCAAAGAAGTTGGCAGCATTTCTGGACCCTGTTCATAGATGGTTTCTTCTTTGCGTTTTAGAGTTTTAACTTGTATCTGTTCATGCAGCGGCAAACTATTTTCACAGACAGTGGTTTTAAGTTCCTGAGCCCATGCAGTGATTTCCACTACAGAATCATATCTGTTTTTAATGCAGTGCCGCCTGAGGGCCCAAAGATCATGACCAGCAAATGCTGGTTTTTGGCCTTGTGCCTTGCATACAGAGATTTCTCTGAATCATTTAATAATATTATGTACTGTAAATGACGTAAAGCAAAAGCTCTTTGCTATTTTATGTTGAGAAACATTATTCTTGAATTGTTGCACTATTTGATCGTGCAGTATTTCAGATTGGTGAACCCCTCCTAATCTTAACTTCTGAATGACTCAGCCTCTCTGGGATGCTTTTTTATACTCAGTCATGTTACCAACTTGTTGCCAATCAATCACCAGGTGTTTTTTTAGCATTACACAACTTTACCAAACCTTTGTTGCCCTTTTTTTAGAACATGTTGTTGGCATCAAATTCAAAATGGGCATATATTTTTCAAAAAAACAAGAAACTTTCTCAGTTTCAACATTAGATATGTTGTCTTTCTACTATTTTCAATTAAATATAGTGTTTACATAATTGGCACATCATTGCATTTAGTTTTTATTTACATTTGGAAATGAGGTACTTTTTTGTACTCATGGCCTGAGGTTTTTAACTTTGTCATTTGTTTTTTAGGCTGCTGTACATTTTTATCTGTTTTGTGTTTCAGGAAAACATTTTCATGGATGGAAGATTGCCATCATCTGCATTTCAGTTTTTGCGGTTATGTTAATTACCTTTACAGCTTACATCTGGAAAGGTGAATTTTCTTAGTCATTTCAGGAATAATTTCTACATGTTTAAAAGAACATTTACCATATTTAGATTGTGTGAATGTACAGAAAAGATGATGTCATGCAACGTCATCTTTTGGGAGACTGTATCCTCAGCATGATGACATGCTAAGCATTGGCTTTCAAAAAGAGAAATTTCTTTGTCAGGTTCTCTAGTGCCAAAAATCATTAGTATTTTTCTATATTTAATTTCTCTGCACCTCAGTACTTCACCTTTTTAAAGAGTGCTCAAGGGGTGAGTCTTCAACTTATTCATATACTAAGATCACATTTTACGTTTTGTTTTAAAGTACCAGAAGAAGCGGTGTAATCATTCATTCACTTTCTTGATGCATCATATTTATAATTCTTCCCAATCAATGCAACTGTACTGATTGTAAAAGGGAAATACTGTATTCTTAAATGATTATTCTATTTATTATTGATCAAGATTTATTCAAAACCTATTTCACTCAACAAGTAATTGCCCCTAAACCTAATAACTGATTGTGCCATCCTTAGTAACAAATGCAATTAAATGTTTGTGATAAATTGTGATCAGTCTTTTACATCGCTGTAGAGGAATTTTGCCCCACTCTTCTTTTCAGAATTGTTTTAATTCAGCTACACTGGAAGGTTTTCAAGCATGATCTGTCTGTTTAAGTTCTTGCCACAGCATGTCAATATGATTGAGGTCAGGACTTTGACTTGGCCACTCCAAAACCTTAATTTTTGTTTCCTTTGAGCCATTCAGAGGTAGACTTGCTTGTGTGCTTCAGAATAATGTCCTGCTGCATAACTCAACTGCGCTTGAGCTTTAGGTCATAAACTGACAGACGGACATTCTGACATTTTCTGATAGAGAGTAGAATTCATGGTTCCATCAATTATGACAAGTTGTCCAGGTCCTGCAGAAGCAAAGCAGCCCCAGACCATCACACTACCACCACCATGTTTGACTGTTGATATGATGTTCTTATGGTGGAATGCGGTGTTAGCTTTATGCCAGATGTAACGGAATCTGCGTCTTCCAGAAAGTTCCACTTTTGACTCATCAGTCCACAGAATATCATCCCAAAAGTTATAGGGGTCATCTAGATGTTTTTTTTTTTGGCAAATGTGAGATGAGCCTTTGCGCTCTTTTTGGTCAGCAGTGGGTTGTGCCTTACAACTCTCCAATGAATGCCATTTTTGCCAAATGTCTTTCTTATTGTGGAATCACATACATTGACGTTAACTGAGGCAAGTGAGGCCTGCAGTTCTTTAGATGTTGTTTGTCTGGGTGCTTTTGTGATCTCCTGGATGAGTTGTCGATATGCTCTTTTAGTGAATTTTGGTAGGCTGGCCACTCCTGGGAAGGTTCACCACTGTTTCAAGTTTTCTCCATTTGTGGTTCTCACTGTAATTGCCAATTGGTAACCTTTTCTAGACTTGTAGACTTTGTTTCACATCTATCTTTGAATCTCCTCAGAATGTGGCATCATGTGCTTCTTTTGGAGACTTTCTAGCCTGCTTAACATTGCCAGACAGGTTCTATTTAAGTGATAGTTATATTCTCCAGGACTGGCAGTAATCATGCCTGTGTGTGGCTAGTGAAACTGAACCCAAAAGTCAATTGAATTTGCTTAACTGGTTGATTTAGTAGCTAAGGGGGGCAGTTACATTTTACATAGGGCCAGGTAGGGCTGAACAGCATTTTATCTTCAGTAAGTGTAATTACCATTTAAAAACAGCATTTTATGTTTAATTTGGTTATTTTTGTCTAATTTTAAAAGTACTTTGATGATCTGAAACATTCAAGTGTGACAAATATGCAAAACTAGAAGAAATTGGGAAGGGGCAAATACATTTTTACAGCACTGTATACCTGTTCTAGTTTCCAACTGCTATGCACCCAGGGGCTTGCCCTGAGTGAGAATCGAGCTCATGACCCTTGTGTTATTGGTGGACAATAGAGGACAGCCTCAAGCACAGAGCAACTCAGGATTTGGGGAAACATGCAACTCAGAAAAACAAAAAAAAGAGAGACTAAGAGATTAGCTGTTATTCATATTTGATCAAGATATTTGTGAAATACACAATATGTCCAAAAGTATGTAGACACCTGACCATCACACCTATATTAGCTTGCTGGATATCCCATTCCAAAACCATGAGCATAAATAAGGTGTTGCCCCTCTTTGTGGCTCCACTCTTCTGGGAAGGTTTTCCACAAGATTTTGGAGTGTATCTGTGGGAATTTGTGCCCATTCAGTCAAAACAGCATTTGAAAGACCAGGCACTGATGCTGGATGAGAAGGTCTGGCTCTCAATTGATGTTCCAGTTCATCCCAAAGTTATTCAGCGAGGTTGAGTTCAGGGCTCTGTGAAAAACCCTGAAAACAGCCCCAGACCATTATCCCTCCTCCACCAAACTTTACTTATGCTGCTATGCATTCAGGTAGGTAGCATTCACCTAGTATCTACCAAACACAGATTCGTCCATCAGACTTCCAGGTAGCAAAGCATGATTTAGCACTCCAGAGGATGTTTCCACTGCTCCAGAGTCCAGTGGAGGAGTGCTTTACACCACTCCAGCCATGCTTGGCATTGCACATAGTGATCTTAGGCTTGCATGCAGCTGCTTGTCCATGGAAATCCATTTAATGAAGCTCCCAATGCACAGTTCTTGTGTTGATGTTGCTTCCGGAGGCAATTTGTAACTCTATAGTGAGTGACGCAATGGAGCATAGACAATTTTTACATGCTTCAGCACTCTGTGTCCCTGCTCTGTCAGTTTGCGTGGTCTGTTGCTCCATAGCTATGCTATTGTTGCTCCTAGATGCTTCCGTTTTACAACAATAGCACTATCACGTCGGGTAAAAAAAGGTTTTAAAAAAGAGACTGTTTTATATTTGTACATCTGTTAAGACTGAATGTTGTTGAAACACCTGAACTCAATAATTAGGAGGTGTGTCCACATACTTTTGGCCATATAGTGTATGCAGATCAAGTGCTCTGTACAAATGGTATATTAATATTACTCAAACACAATCAAAATTAGGGGAAACATGCAAAGGTGACACAATCAGGGGATTAATTTGGAGGACGCAATAGTTTTTAATAAACAGGACGTGCCATAAGTCCTTGAAAATATGAATCATCCCTGCAATATATAAAATTGTTCACTTTTTGCTTGTTTGACTTTCCTATTTTAATATGAGTAGGAGTGCATGATACATCTTTAAATTTCAGTCTAATTTACCAATTCATTATTTGTGTAACGTGCGACCAGTAAGCAGACGCTCGCGGATGTAAAACAGTGAAGAAGCTTTACTTGGGGATTCAGACAGAGATATTGTCGTCAGTACACAAGCATGGGTCAGTTCCAAAGTCAGCAACAAAACACAGAAGGCGATCATAACAAAATAGGGCAAGGCAGATCAAAGTCCAAAACAGGCAAAAGTTAAAAACCGAATATCCAGCAAACCAGGCAACAGTACCAAAAGGGCAATCCGAAAATCAGTGAACACGAGAAACAGAGTCAAAACACAAGGTCAAAACACGGGAGATCCAAACCAGAAAGAACGCTCAGTAGTTTCACTAGGAAAGCAATACCTCGCAATGAACCTGACTATAGCCCGGGCTAATATACTAACTAAAACAGGTCATGTGAGAAAACATACAGGTGAAAATGATCAATATTCAGGAGAACTAGAGCGGTGATAAGCTGCTGATGATCTTCCCGGAGTCAGGTGATGAGGCGTTAGTTTTGAGGCTGGCTGGCCGAATACGTGACAATTTGCCATATAGAAGTAGTTTACCTAACGAATCCATGAATTGTCATGCATCAGAATTTAATTTTTAACATTGACAGAATGTGTCAGAGGACCAAAAACACTAAAATGCAACACAGGGACAGATAGCATAAATACAGTTTAATAATCAAAGCATATCCAAGTTCATGGCGGGGATTAAAGATCAAGCAGATACTGAAACACAGGAGTATCCATAAAGACAAAGACGGGGTAGGCCATGTTAAGAAAACAACAGGGAAATACAAGTAATACAATGCCATAACTTCCACAAAATAGACTCCATTTAAATGACATAAGACACAGGAGGATACAATGACCACTGGGTGGGTCAATGAAAGATGATGAGGGAAAAACCAGAGTGATTTTTTCATCTCTAGAAATGTTAGATATAAAACATCACTGTAATTACTGAGGCTTAGTAGAACAGATAGATCTGTTCTTTATTGTAGTGATAAAGAATGCCCCAAAGACAACAGAATAATATAACTAATTAATAATACATATGCATGTAATATAATATAATATATATTTTATATTATATTTTAGCAATACAAATAGTTTGTGAATTGACTAATAAATCAATAATTCATGAAAACTAACAAAATTAAGTTTTTAAGCCTCTGCCACTGTTCCCTTAAACATCTGTCATGTTCAAAAAGTTAGTCACTGGATGATGGTGGTATCTGTTATCTACTGTTTCTCTAATTTCAGATAAATTCTCAGAAAAGAAGCTTACTCCTGCACAATGCTCCATCATAACCTACATGCATCTCCGATCAGAGAATGTGAGGAAAGAATTTGACCTGAAGAAATACAATACATCAGAGAAGGGTTACAGAAGACTCATTCCGGCTATCACAAACTGCAGAAAGGCTCAGTGAGTATTTACCATAAATGTTATTAAGCTCATATTAATACTACATTATGACTTATGGACTACACAAAATGTCAAACAAGTCTAGGTACTTTAAGGAGTCTAAAATATCTTGTCAGAGTTTTTCATCTTTTGTGTTGGAGCTTCTGCACTCTATTGGCAGACTCATTATTAAAAATGTGACAGATTACCTAAAAATATTACATAAGTTACACATATACATATGTACAGTACATGCACATTTATTTTATTGTACTTGTTCATTTATTGTGGCTGTCAATAAGGAATGTTATAAGCATAACATTCATTATCAACAACCGCAATAAATTTCTGTGCACCTTAAGGAAATTTTGTTGTTTTGAGAAAATCCACTTCAGTCGTCATGTGCTAATCTTTGTTCATTAGATTGATTTTGAATCATGTGATAAATCACTGTTTGCTTGTTTTAAATGAAAGACAGATAGTACTTAAGGAAGCAGCAGTTAACACAGTATGTGTAATACAGTATATGGTTACTACCAGAGTCAGTTGGCCCTATACATTCACTATGCACATTATGTAGGGCCCCACAAATTATGCAAGATTAAAGTGAAATAAAAGTGGGTAGGCCACACAATTTAGCATAGCTCATTAGCATTTACAGTACATTACAGTTTGTAACTTTATAGTGAGTGATACAACACAGCATAACAAAGCACAACTGTGCGAAAGTGTTCTGCTATGTGTTGGCCTGCTGTGTCATCATACTGTCATCTCTCAACAACCATAAATATCAAACCAATCCACTCTGTTCAGTAACTACAACAAGACACTATGTTCAGAATCTGAAAAAAGCACCCAATAGCAGACAAAGGATAGCAGACAATAAAAACAGCTTCACACATAGTGACTGCATAGAGTATTAAGCACCAAAGCCAAGAGGTGTTATATAGCTGACAAATCTGTATGCTCAGTCATAGTCCATAGATGCTGTAAAGTTCCGAAATTAATCTCCAACACAGCAAAGTATTATTTAAATTCTTTAATGAGCTTACTGAGCTTCAGTGGTAGCCTACATGTTTCTCTCTCAGCTACTCCAGCCATCTCTCAATAAAATACTGTCAAATTACAACATAAACATCACATGCATTATAAACCACAGGCTAAACATTACAGACACAACCTCAACAACATTCACAACCAACTTTGCTATTTATCACTATTCAGGTATCATGCAGAAATACACAACAATCTACACAGCAACCTGACAAGTTGACTACAGCAAAACAATGTACAATTTTAGGCCTACCTTTGATGTCTTCCTGGGGCCATATTAATCCATAATTATGAATACAGGAAGTGGCCTAGATGTCAGGGCTTACAGTTGAAGATAGATATGATTTCATCGTAGTCCAGTGAGTCTGACAGTTCCCGTTCAAAAGACAAAAAAGGGTGAAGTTTTTCAGGCGAGGTGTTGACATTGAGGCTCTCAGTCTTGTTTTTATCTGATTTGTCGTTGAGAAAGACCTCTCCACTGTACATAATGTCACTGGCAGGATTATAATAACCCTAACCAATCCACTGACAGTGGGGAAAATCTCTGCTAAAAGCCTGTCTGTTGTGGAGTTTGACAGTGCTAATTCAGTGCCCCTCCCCGTAATGTTAATGGATAACGGTGGTATCAGGCATCAGCTCCTGCAGTTTTGTTTTTCTTTTTAAAAACCTTACAATGAACATTTATTTTTTCATCGCAAACAAGGCTACTCTTAAGCTACAAAAAATAGCTAACATTAGCTAGCACTAGCAAAGCAGCAGCATGTTTGCTTCTGGAAAATGTCCAACTTGGTACACTGTGGTAGATTTCAATTAGTATAAGCAAACACCATTAAAAACAGCCAATCACAGCACATCACACATGGTTTAATTTACAAAGAATTTTTATTGGTTGAAACAAATAATAGACAGATAGTTGCCTCCAATCAGTACCAAGATGATATCACCACCATCTATTTGTTTTACAACAGCATGAAATGAAAATGAATATGAAAATCAGTATATCACATTATTAGACAGTGATAAAGAGGTAAGGAATGTAACCTCACATTAAGTCATTTTAATAATGGTAGATTTATAAAAAAAACAGTTATTTGATTGGATGGGTCTAAGCAAGAAGTTATAGCCATGCCCCTGCTCCTCTCCAAGGTTAATGTCAGTAAATAACAAAAAAAGAGAGTTAAATACAACTATTTATTACCTTTGATAAACGCCAAAGGGCAACAGTGTTTACAGACTGCAGCTTGGAAAAGATAACCACATCATGCATAAACGTCTTCATATGCACATGCACAAAATGAAACTTAGCTTTGCAACAACAAATTTACAAATTTAAAATGTTGATTAGCTGGGCCTATAGGGCAATATGATCTGTGATTTCATGCTCTGTGAAACCCTTGCACTAAGTCTAGGGAAACAATTAATGTGTAACGTGGCAGAATAACTCAAACGCTCACGGTTAAAAAACGAGAGTGAGGCTGTAATGTTAGAGTCGTAATCCAAAATCGTGGTCAAAAAACAGGCAAAGGTCAAATCCAGCAAAGACAACCAACACCAAAAGACAAACATAGGGCAAACAAAGTCCAAAGGGCAAAGGCAAAAGGGCAAAAGTCAAAAACAGCAAACAGAGTCAAAAAAAAAACAGAAAAATCACAATAGAGAGAAGAATATAACGCTCAGTAACTCTTGGAAAAAGAAGCAATACCTCACAACAAACTTGACTGAAAGCCTGGGCTTTATACTGAACTAATTATGTTAGAACAGGTGTAACCAGTTAATACTCAGGAGACTGAGAGCGGTGATTGGAGCAAGATGGAGGACTGAGAACCATGTGATCCCCCTGGGGATTCTGGGAATTGGAGTCCCTAGAGGCCTCTGAGGCTGAGGGACGTGTGACATAATGACAACAATTAATCACAACAATTAATGACTGTTAACTAAATAAGTAGTAAAAAATAAAGGAGGAGCCAAAATAATGTTTAACAAAATGTTAGAGAAGTGAAAGAAAGAAAGATAGTATCAAAAATGAAATTGTTCAGATAATTCCAAATGCAAACAAGGTTTGTGAATCGTCATATATTTTACTCATTTTCTTTTCTTCCCCACATGTAGATTTGTTGGCTGTAATCTCACTGCACAGTCCCTTGAAACTTTGAGTGCAGCTCTACAAACAGAAAGCTCCTCCCTGAAAGAACTAGACCTCAGTAACAGTGACTTGCTGGATTCAGGAGTGGAGAAGCTCTCTGCTGGACTGAAGAGTTCACACTGTAAACTGGAGATACTCAGGTCAGAATTTCAAAATTCCATGAAATTTTGCAGTTGTATACCAGCGCTGTTAAAATATGCAACTATTATAATTTCTATTTAGTGTACTGAATAATGTGTTGCTTTTACTTTCCTTTTTGCAGACTTGCTGCATGTAAACTCAGTAAACAGTCCTGTGACACTCTGCGATCAGTTTTACAAACAGAAACATCCTCCCTGAAAGAACTGGACCTTAGTAAGAATGATGTGCAGGATTCAGGGGTTGAGCTGCTCTCTGCTGGGTTGAAGAATTCACATTGTAAACTGGAGATACTCAGGTCAGAATTTCCATAATTACTGACACCCTTTGTAAAGCTGGATAAAAAAGGTTATGAAAAAAGTTTCACTAGCTCAGTCTCACACAGAAAATATCTGAAAAATCTAATCTTTGATTATCTTAAATTTAGAAAACAAAAATTCCAATTAACCAATTTGTTACCCCAATTTGTTGCACTTCTTTAGCATATTCTTTAATCTTCTGCATGTTGATGATGACTATGGGAGTTGGCCTCTGTGTAACTTTTTGCACCTTATATTTATGCCACAGTGAAACAGGAAGTCATAAATGACCACTTAACACTTCCTGAAGAAATATAAATGGGAACATTACGTTTTATTCACTGATCAAGAATACAATTGTGACACATTTTTTCTCTATTTGCAGATTAGCTTTGTGCAATCTTGGGCAGAATACATGTGGAAATCTGGGATCAGCTTTACAATCAGAAACCTGGCCCCTGAAAGAACTGGACCTTAGTAAAAATAACCTGCAGGATTCAGGAATGGGGATGCTTTCTGGTGCTTTGAAAAGTTCACACTGTAAACTGGAGATACTCAGGTCAGAATCTCAAAAAAGCTATTCTTTTTCAGCATTAAGCCTTGAAGTGTGCAACTCATTACTTTTTTTTATTCATTACTGTGCAAAATTTGGTGATCACCCTATTCATTTATTTAATTTCCAGTCTAAAAGCCAATAAATAATAAGTAGTCATTTTTCCATCTCAGGAAAAAAAAACTGGCTTGTACTCAGAATAAGTACAATTACTTAACTGTAGTTTTGTTCAGATGAGGTTCACTATTTTAGGAATGCTAAATAAGAGTAACACACATACTGAGCTGAAAACACAATGATTACAGCACTGTATGTAAGACAATCACTGCACTAATGTTAGGCATGAACTGCACTGATACATTTCCTCCAATATAATTATGTCACTCTTGTGTCATATGTCTGTACTGTAATTTGATTTGTTATCTCAGCTGGAAATTCATAGACAGTGGTAACAATATGATTAATTGTGCAGCCCTACCCCTCACACAAATAATATCTGATCAGCAGTGATACTATGATGATCCTTGTCTGCTGATGAACAGGACAAAGGGGATTGATTGTGTAGCAAAAGATGGGCTACAGTCAGCAAACTTACACAGTTGGCAGATCTGTCTGTTTAAATGGCCAGTGAGTGTAGATACAGTGTATATCATAGACTGGCAACAAAGATTATATGTTTCTGCAAAATAACTGGTCTTAACTCGTATTCACTGGTATTTCGTATGTTGATTCCAACCGTTGGAACAGTAGTAAATGTAAATACATTAATGGGAGATGTTATATTCCCATATGTGAACTGAACATCTATGATGAAGATAAAAAATACACAAGGTCATACAAAATACATAAAGGATCCATCAATTCTGTCAAGAAAACTGAAAGACATTGACTCTGTTTCTAATTACTGTGGCAGAAAGATAGCTTACTTCTAATCTAGCAAAAAAATTTCATCTAATACAAAATAGAAAACTGTTAGAAACCGAGAATAGCAGAGAAAAAAAGCACAATCTTTTATTAAAAATTAAGGTTTCACAAACCCAAGCATTAATCTTGAGTTGGACCAGGCAGCAACTAAAAAAAAAACAGGAAAATCCAACCTTTTTTATACTGCTCTGGAGAGGTTACCCACCCCCATTACATCATATCAACTGATCTGTCTTACTGTCACAACTCTGACTTCCCTGAGTTCTGTTATAACTAACAATTTTTGTACCTTTTACATACACTTTGTTTCTTCAGTTAGAATTGGCCTTGTGACAAACACCTTGTTTTTCTTCTAAAAGTGCTATGTCATCCTTCATCACCCATTCCAATTCACACACAGAGAGAAAAATACACATAGCATAGTGTAATTATCCATGGAATCAAGTCAATCATTAATGTAGTTACAACTAAGTCTCTCTACATATGTGCTTCTCATTTTCAAAGACATTTGTAATACTATATGGTGTGTGTGCTTCTCCAGGCCACAGCCCCTAATGAGGCCCTCTTGGCACACACTAAATTTGTAACATACTTAGGGTCACCCACAGGCACACAGAGAGAGCTGCACACACAGTGAGAATGATCAGCATAATATAATTAATTATGAATAAAATCATGTATTACTTTAATAAACATGAAAATATTTCACACTATCAAAAAATCTCCCTAACAATTCCAAAAATCTCCCTCGTTACAAAAAGAAATAACAACATAACAGAAGTTGGAATGATGGTTGCTGCATCTATTTGTTTCTGTGTGATCCCACATTTTCGGACTTAACTGTGTTCTCTACTGTATTTTTTCTCCCTTTGCAGATTAGCCATCTGTAATTTCACTGTGGAGTCTTGCAAATTTCTCATATCATCCCTACAAACAAAAATCAACTCCCTGAAAGAGTTGGACCTGTGTAGCAATGAGCTGCAGGATTCAATAGTAGAGCTGCTTTCTGCTGGACTGAAGACTGGAGACTGTAAACTAGAGATACTCAGGTGGGTGTTCCTGTCCTGTCATGTTTTGTAGAGAAATACTGACATATTGTGGTGAGAAACTCAACTTTTGCTGCAAGTTTGTCAACACCTGCTAGTACAGAGATGTTTTATCATAAGACAGGTGCAGCTGGATGGTGGTGTTTATCACATGACAGTGTTTAATCAAGGTTTTTAATTAAAGTAGATAAAGCATAATTTGTGAAACAACATGTTTCCCAAGTTTATTTAGGGGTGTCTGGGCTACTACATAATTATTTGACAGCCTTACACTGAAAACAAATGACTACTTAATATGTGCTTCAAGAAAAGGAAATTTATTTCGTCTGTGCTATAACACAGGAAACATGATGATCCAGCCCAAACTCCATTTGCCTATGTCATTTATCACTCTCAGTGCTTTTCTCCTGGTCTCTGTCCTGCAGCCCAGACCTAAACACAGCCTTATTATTCTCCAAAATAATGCAGTAGTTCTATATTAATTGTCCTACATAGTTTATCCTCAGTGGTGGACGAAGTACACAAATCATGTACTTAAGTTAAAGTAGAGATACCCAAGGTAAAATATTACTCCAGTAAAAGTAGAAGTCCTCCCTTTAGACCTTCACTAGAGTAAAAATACAAAAAGTATTTGCCTTCAAATGTACTTAAGTATCGAAAGTAAAAGTACTAAAAGATCTATTATGACTCTAATGTCCTATTACCATTTTTGTAACAAGACTCTTGCTTCATTAACTCATTTTAGGTGAAAATACTCCAGTGCCACTCTTGGTAAACCAATCTTTTAATAGAATGTCATTAATTTGTCTGAAACTGATGTCTGTTAAAATCATCATAAGAACAAAACACTGAAGGCAAACAGTTTCCATTAGGTAGAACCAAGTGGCTCTGAAATAACTTTTTGCAAACAAGCAATGTTTCAGTTTAAGATTTATTTGCAACTTAGTTGCAAGTTTAAATTTAATAAAAGCTTGCTTTAAGCACAGGTTCACCAAAGAGTTTTCCTTTACTATATTGCATTTGTAGGTGTCTGTTCATAAACATAAACTAGCAAAAACAAATTTACTATAACATGAAATAGTGTTTGTATAAAGGATGAGGAGTTGGTGGAGTTACACTTTCATATCGATTCACCCATAAAGAAACACTCAGTCACCCTGTCTCTCCTGGCACATCAGCACCAGAGTATTATTAGTATAAGAACCGGCTGAAACGGCTGAGCAGGAAACTGTTCATTTAGAATAAAGAGTCAGATGGACTCGGAGGAAACTGTCTGTCTGAATCTCAGGCAGGGTCTTCTACATGGCTATCAGTAGCTACATCTCCGTGCCATTCAAAGAGGGCATGAAGTTTGAGATTGATAATCTGAGAATGATAAAATGAGAATGATAATTAAAATGATCGACCCACAAAGAGACAAGAGTGCGTGGAACTCTGGCGCGCCAGTACAGCAACCGAGACCCAAATGCATTATGGCAGCCCCCTACAGTTAGCCCACTTTATCCTCCAAATATTACAACTTTTTACTCAAAATATTACGACTTTATTCTCAAAATAGTATGATTTTTTCTTGAAATATTACGACTTTATTCTCAATGTCTACTATTTTTATTTTTATGAACAGTGGCCATAAAATGCCGTCATAGAACAGAATTGTTGCACTGGGTATGTCCAACAGGTCAAAACAAGTTCAAAACAAAGTGCATGCTGTACCCTGATTGGTATGCTTGCTTCACGCTTCTTTCGTTTTGACTTGTTATAAAATGTTACATTTTTATGCACACATTAGCCAAAAGGAACTACAGATTTTGTATAATGTAGTGGAGTAAAAAGTAAGATATTTGACTTTGAAATGTAGTGGAGTGAAAGTAAAAAGTTGCCCAAAATGGAAATACTTCAGTGAAGTACAGATACATGAAAAAAGTACTTAAGTACAGTAACGAATTACATTTACTTCAGGACTGTCCACCACTGTTTATCCCACAGTTCAGTACAAACTGGATGGAATGATTGCATATTCAAGCATCAATAAAATACTACCATGTTCAAAACCTTATTTATGATTAACAGTTACCACAATAATCAATTCTTCTTCTAAGCAATATAGTTTGTTAACAGTTGGCTTTGATTGTCAAGCAACATAATGAATGAATATTATTCAATAAACAGCACTAGCAGAAATTTTGTTTTAAAGATAACATCAGATTTTTGAACCTTAGGTTCTAGGAAGATCACATTCTTCACAGAAAAAGGCAGATGGACTAAAAGTTTAGTAACACGACAATATTTGTTGTGTACTGTAGAACATTAGCATATCTGAAAACATTATCACTCAAAAATAAATTGTCTTTGTTTAATTTTTTGTGCAGACATAAAAATGTCTAAGAAGAACTGTAGACCAGTAAAAAGATGGTAACAATAATCAAACCAGGGAAACCTTTTAGTCACTGGATCTTGAAGCAACAGGTTTAAGTGTTGGATGAGTAACAGAGGCTGACCCTTCAAAAGAACTAACTGTAGTTTTAACACATTTATTTTCTAAAACAATATTATAATATTACACTTTTTATTCGCTTTTTTTTTTTTGCCTGGGTGGATCATAAAATCAGGTCAGTATGGCAGATTTTTTTTCAGTAGAAAGTTATTACAACTCTTCTTTGTTTCTTACTGCCTTATGCTTCCAGGGGTAGGGAATACATTGTTTACTGCTTATTGTTCTCTGTGTAAAAGCTGTTTCTGCTACTTTCAAGTTGTCCTGAAACAGTGACTGCTGGCCTGATTTTACCTTGCTTATCATTATTCTAAGGCCCAACCCCATTTCACCCCTTGCCCCTACCACTTAGCCCTTAGCCCTCTGTTTTGCGCATTCACATCTAGGGTTAGGGTGTCCCGATTTTTGTTGAGGTAGAGGGGTAGGGCGAAGTGTTAGGGCTACATGGCCCTCCAAATGGAGATTTTTCAGAGGCACACTCCAAATGGATATTTTTCAGAGGCACACTCCAAATGGAGTGTTATCAGAAAAAAAGAAAAACTGGAAAGATGGCTGCACGAGCAACCAAAGAAACCCACAAATGTGAGTATTTTCTTAATTAAAAAAATATGATAACCATCGTATTATCTTAGTTTAATGTTGTTTCAATGTATTATGGTCGTTTTCTTCATAACAAGCGTAAAAAATCGCTAATAGCATGCTAATGTTTCGGTAGCTAGCTAGCTAACTTCCCCGTTCCACCTTAAATAGTCCATTAGTGTTGGTGCCTGAAGCGCCAGAATGTAACTGCTGCACCATGTAAGGTGGAATGGGAAAATTCGAACAAGAAGCTGGTGAATAGCTGACTTGAGCTTCGTATCACCAAAGAATTAGCGGTGGGCGATAATAAATAATTGTCTTATCCCCTCTCTTTGAAGGCATATACTGCCCTAAATGTAACTAAAGCCCAGCAGCGAGGCCGCTGAACTTTTCCCTTCTCGCCTGTCACTGAAGTTGGGCTGGGTCGCCTGCAGAGCACCGCTAGTAGCCTGTTAATGAAGCAATGTAATTTGAGGGTTGTCCCATTTTGTAGGGCAAGATTTCAACAACTACCCCTTGTAACTTTTTGCTTGGTTAGGGTAACACTCGAAAACAAGGGGTAGGGGTAAAAAGAAGAAATGGGATTGGGCCTAAGAGTGCATTGAGAAATCTTACATGGCACACTTTATATAGATGATTAGCTGTGATTACAAGAATTTTATACTTGCATATTATGAAACCAACTGTACTGACAGGGATATTTAAGGTCATTGTTATGGCTCTGTTGTTATTTCCCCAAAAGTTGTTTAAGACATTTGTATACAAAAGCTAAGGCACTCTGAGACAAATTGCACATTTGGATAATATCTGAAGTGAAAAGAAGTAAACACAAAATGTGCAGCACAGTAATTGAATGTTCCAGAAAAAAAAAAAAACATTTCTGGACTCATTTTGTTTTCTGTAACTTATATCCTGATTTGAATATGCTGTAAAATCAATGTGTTTATTTTTATTTGCAGACTAGCTTTGTGTAATCTTGAAGGAAAAAGGTGTGACAATATTGGATCACTTTTAAAACTTGAAAACTCCTCCTTGAAAGAGCTGAATCTCAGCAACAATGACTTGCAGGATTTAGGAGTGGACCTGCTCTCTGTTGGACTGAAGAGTTTGTACTGTAAACTGGAAATACTCAGGTCAGTGTTTCTTTCAGTATCAGTGATGGATCTAGAAAGTTTTACTAGGGGTGGCATTAACATGATACCCTGACAAAACACCCTGCCACCCCTGAGGGTAAAAAACATACAGATATTGCAAGCATAAATATAATATACATGCATACAGAGTGTGTGGAGAGAATGCAAATGTAGGTAGTATGTACTGTGATAAGAGCATATGTAAAATGATAAGTACACAGATTAAAAACATGTACAGTAACAGTCTGTGCAAATGTGAATAGTGCAGTAATAGACTGTACAATTATGAATAGTGCAATAATACTAGGACATGAAGTACATAACAGTGCAGTGAGTACAAAGATGTGGTTAAAGTGGCGGTGTGGCGTTCAGCAGGGTCACAGCCTCAGAGAAGAAGCTCTTCCTGAGTCTGCTGGTGCAGGAGCGGAGGCTTCTCTAACGCTTGCCAGAAGGGAGGAGGGTAAAAAGTCCATGGTTAGGATGAGAAACGCCCTTAAAGATGTTCCTTGCCCTGCCCAGGCACGCTTGTGGTAAATGTACTCAGTGGTGGGTAAATGGGTGACTGTGATGCGCTGGGCAGTGTTCACCACCAGTTAAGTTAGAAGAGTTTGTCTAACTTAACAGACTGAGGTCTATCAGTCAGGAAGTCCAGAATCCAGTTCCAGAGAGATGTGCTGATAGCAAGCTGGCTAAGCTTTAAGATCAGCTTGGAGGGGATCACCATGTCAAATGCTGAACTGATGTCAATGAACAGCATTCTGACATAAGAGTTTTGACAGTCCAGGTGGGTCAGCACAGTGTGGAGCGCAGTAGAAATGGCGTCCTCCTTTGAACTGTTGTGGCAGCAGGCAAATTGGTGTGGGTCCAGGGTAGCAGGCAGAAATGATTTCACATGAGAAAGAACTAGTCTTTCAAAGCACTTTGAGATGATGGAAGTGAGTGTGACAAGGTAGAAGTTATTCAGGGCTAAAGCGAATGCTTTGCCACTGGCACAATGGTGGCAGTTTTGAAGCTAGTTGGGACAACTGCCTGGGCCAGCGACAGATTGAAAATGTCTGTGAAGACCCCAGCCAGCTGCTAAGCACAGGCACTAAGCTCCATCAGGGCCAGCTGCCTTTCGTGCGTCCACCTCACAGAGCGTGAAAGACATCCACGGTGGAGAGTGTAAGTGGCTGCTCATCAGGTGGTAAATCTGTTTTGAAGAAGTCTACCTTATTTCTCCTGTCAAAGCAAGTATAGAAGTGGTTGAGCTCAACAGGGAGTGAGGCACAGTTGGTAGGGGGCACAGTGCTGGGTGGTTTGTAGTCAGTAATTTATTGTATGTCTTACCACATATACTGGGAGTCAGAAGAGTTGAATTGCTCTTCAATCCACTGTTTGTAACAGTGTTTATCCTTTGAGATGCCTCTTCTGAGGTTGGCTCCGGCTGAGCTGTAAGCCTCCTAGTCTCCAAACCTGAAGGCAGCATCTCTTGCTTTGAGCAGGAGGCAAACCTCTCTGTTCATCCAGGGCTTGTGATTAGGGAAGGTTTTTATTATTTTTTGAGTTGTCACTTTGTCCACATAGCTGTTGATATGTTCCAGGACAGAGTTGGTGTAAATGTCAATGTTGATATGAAAGTCTGCGGTGGCCTGGGCTGCAAACACACTCCAGTCTGTGTGCTGGTGTCAAGCATCCCTCTGACTATGAGATGCTTACAGACTCCACCCCCAGAACCCTCTGATACTAATCTTGTGCACCTGTTCTTTCCAGTCATGTGTCTAGTTACATGTATTATAAAGTCCAGGCTTTTAGACAAGTTAAGTTGCGAGGTATTGCTTCTTTGAGTGAGAACTAATGAGCATTTTCTGGTTGCCTTTTTGTTACTGTTTTGTCTGCCTGGAATTTTTCAACTTTGTCTGCTTGTCTCTGCCTCTTTGCATTTGGTTGCCTGGTTGTTATGTTTTTTTCTTTTCTGTCTTTGGATTTATTTGACCTCTGCCTGTTTCACAACCACGAGTTTCGACCAAGCCCTTGACACTAAAGCGTCTCTTTTTGATATTTACCACAAGCATCTGATTCGTCTGCTGGAGCTGGTGTTGAAGAGATGAGTCAGCCCCTTCTATCCAGATCTTGACAGATCTTGTTGTGAGTTTCACACGTTTGATGACTGGGATGTATTTGGGGAGCAGGAACAAAGACAAGTGTTCGGACTGTCCCAGGTGGGGGAGAGATATGGCTTTGTAGGTGTTGGCCACACTGGTGTAAATGTGATTGTTTTTTGTCCGCTTATGGTGCAGGAGACATTCTGGTGAATGTCCAGATTTCAAATTGCAGTGATTAAAGTCCCCAACAACAATAAAGGCTCTGTGCGGGTGCACAGTTTGCAGTTTGCTAATAGCAGCACAAAGATCTTTCATAGCCACATTAGTGTTAGCGTCTGGGGGACATAAACTGCAGCAGCAACAATGCAGGTAAACTCTTGTGGAAGATAGAAGGGTCTGCAATTAATAAACAGGAACTCTAGATCAGCAGAGCAGCGAGCATTAACAACGACAGAGTTTGTGCACCTTGCTTTGTTTACATAAATACAAACACCACCACCGTGGCTGTTATCCGAAGCTGTAGCTGACCTATCAGCTCTGAAGAGAGTGCACCCCTCCAGTTCCACCATGCTGTTGGAAACATTGCTGCTTAGCCTTGTTTCTGAAAAACACACTGCAGTCCATAGGCCTATTCTGCATGAAGGTCCAGATCTTCAATTCATCCAGCTTGTTCACCAGAGACCGCACTGACAAGAGAAGGATGGTAGGTAGCACTGGCTGGTATGAATTAAGCCTTAGCTTGGCACTTAGATCTCCACACTTACCCTGTCTTTGTTCACAGTCTTGATGCTGGCGCCGGGCTCTTCCAGAATGAATGATCTTGGTCTCGACACCCAAAGTATTCCAAAGTATGTCTACTATAATGAGACAGAAGTTGGTTGCATTACATATTTAACAAAAACAATGTTATAGACTGGCCAAAAGCTGAAGAGGTTGCAATTTGCAACTGAAATTGAGATGTATTAAACTGCACATACTTTTTCTAATCATGCCTTGAGATGAATTCAACTGTAGTGAAACTATGAATGCTAACTTAAATGCAGTTCTAATGTAGTTCTTAGTCTGTAAACAGAACTATTTAGGTTTTCCAAAGATAACAGATGACTTGTTAGACCTGTTAGAGGCCTATCCGAGTAACAATGAGAAATTGATTAGTCACTGTTACCAGTGAAAACCAGTGATTACTGTTAAGGAGTGAAAAACCATGAATATCAATGACTACTGTTAGAAGCCTACAGTGAAGATCTGTTAGTATGAATATGAGAAGAGCTCAGAGTATTGTGAGGCAGGGGAAGCCATGTCTATGATTAAATAGTTTGATTTGGTGCAGGCAGCAGTATCATCAGGGGGTTGAGTGGCATGCAGGTGAGGCTGTCTGCACCGCAGATGAAGCAACAGCACCACACTGATCAGGATGGGCAGTTGTTCATCTCGGCAAAGAAACATACAGACAGTTAGTTCTGTTAGGAGTGACTGAGAATAAACAAATATAGAAATAAGAAATACAGTGTTAACAGAATGCAAGCAATGATTCTGGTTTAGCCATTACAGCCTGACTAAAAGGGAGAGCCAGAAGGTAACAAAGACATGAGATGTCTTTCCTCTTGACTGTCAACAAACTTGAGAAAATGTATGAGAGCATTGGGACGACAGCCCCAACATTCTCAGTTTGCCATAATACTGTATGTCAGTGACCCCCTGGATCTGCACCTATTGTCCATAGGGAAAAGCTAATTACCAAAGCCTTGACTAAACAGGTAGGTGTTTAGCTTAGACTTAAAAACTGAGGCTGTCCTGAACACTAACTGGAAGATTATCCCAAAGCTGGGGGGTTTGTATGAAAAGGCTGTACCCCCTGATGTAACTTTATTAATTCCAGGTACTATTAGTAAGTCAGCAGCTTGTGATCGAAATAAGTATCATGGTTCATAATAAGAGATAAATTCATTCAGCTATTGAGTGGCGAGAACGTTTACAGCTTTATTTTTCAGTAGCAGCATGTTGTACTCAATGCAGAATTTAACTGAGAAGCAATGTAGGGTTGATGCAATTGGGCTGGTATGGTCAAACTCTAGTTCTTGTAAGAACTCTGGCTGCAGACCAACTGAAGCTTGTTAAGGCTTTTGCTGGAACATCCAGACAGCAGGGCATTACTGTAATCCAACCTTGAGATAAAAAGGTACAAACTAGCTTTTCTGCATCCTGTAGGGACAATGCATTTCTTAATTTGACAACATTGATGAAGAAAGGTTATTCTGGTAATACTGGTTATATGTTCATCAATATCTCGTGATTTCTTGTGCCTAAAGGGCTCTGTATGTGTGGTATTTTATTTATTATTATGATTATGATTATTATTATTATTATTATTATTATTATTATTATTATTATTATTATATTTTTGGGGGTATAGACACATTGCACTTAACACAATTTTGCTTCATTTTTAAAAGCTGCAGAATCACAGAGGGGGTGGCGGTATTTGTAGGGCAGGTAATCAGTGAAAAGGGAAATAGGTGTGAGGAATGATTGACAGCCTCAGAATTTGGGGGATGATAACCTCTGGTGTCCAAAGTTGGTAGTACTACTGCCAACTACAAAACATTTCATATTCACAATCATTCAGCATCATACACATACTGTTACATTCAATCTGTTCACAACAGACTGAGGAGAGTGCTTAACTGAAAAAAAAAGTATGATGTGTGTGGGGTATGGGCAGATATTTCATTTTACTGTTTGGGGGGACAATAAACAGAAAAAAATATCAAGAGCAATTCCTGAAGGGGACACCAAAGGTGCCACCAGAAGTAATATTGTATTAAATGTATATAGAGAAAACTTACTAATATACATGCTGAATACTTGATAGACAATTGAATTGTACCTGCATGTTCAAAATTATATTAAAAGTACTAGTAGTAATAGTTGTAGCAGTGTTTTTTATCACTCCAGTAGCCTATATCTGTAGGTTTTTGTATGTTCAACCAGTTCAACCAAGAATGACTATAGGTTACAATGGTACACCATATATGGGTGTAGTTTTCCTAATTACAAAGAGTATGGTGTGACCTCATTGTAATACTTTATACATGTAAATGATTAATTCTAACTGTATAACTAAAATAAATAAAAAAAATAAAATAATAAATAAAAAATTAACTGATCTTTTTTTTTTGCTGTCAAAGCGTAAAAGAATTACATCTGCATTAATTTCCAAAAATTATATAGAAACTTCCATCATAGCTGCAATTTTACATGCAACAAGAAAACAAAGAATATAATATAGAACCTAATTATGCAGGCTAATAATATTAGTTGATATTAAATATTATATTATAGAAGTATTACTGTTACTATCTACAAAAAACAATTATTAGTATTTTGGTATGAGAACCAAGTATCATAAATACATGTCTGGCACTTGTAAAAACCAAACTGATTGAAAATTAGTGGAAGATTCAGAGAGTTATGATGATTTCAATTGTGGATCTCTTGCCTCCACAGATGCTCATACCAAGGGCTAATGTGTGTGGTGGTTTGGGGATGGTAGGCAGTGCACCAAACCACTGAGGCATATGAAGGTGGTGATGCCATCTTTCAGAACTTGAAAAGCAATTTTTTTGTGTTTATAATTAGTTCTTTCAATGCATATTATTATATTATTTATGTAGTTACGTGTACAATTAAATATTGAGGCAGGAAACGTTTTCCCAGGAAGGGGGTGTCAGAACAACCCTATATCCTCAGTAATTTCCACCTATGGTGGGGGGTGGTATAAGTTCATGCAATGCTAGAGAGCCAAAGTATGTATTTAAGGGTTAATTTTAGCTACACACTACATTTTCTGTTTCATCTCCATTTCTCTTTTTCCTATATCCATGCATCTATAACTGCTTTATCTGGTGTCTTCCCAGATGAGAATAGGTTCCCACTTTAGAATGCTGGTCCCTCTCAGTGGTTCTTCCTCATGATCCACGTGATTTTTTTTTCCTTTAAATGTTGGTTCCTTCGGTAATTCTTCCTTACACTTCTATGGAGACTTTCTTGACACTCTCCCTTGGTGCTGCTCATTAGAAGGCCATACGTTTCAAATCACATATCTTGGATTACGTTACAGATCACCTCTCAAATAATGAAAACTGAAAATAACAAAAGCAATCATATATTCTGTATGTAAGTTTGCTCTCAGAATTTAGATATGTTTAATTTGATCTTTCTATTAACAGACATTTATAATTTTTCCTGAACAACTTGATGACACTGATAGCTGATAATTGATGATCTACATTCATGCAAACAAAAATTCCAGGCCGAAGCAAATACAATATTTTATTTGTGTTTAGAGTAATACAATATCAAGATAAGCAGTGAGGTTCTGCCAAGGAGATTATGTTGACATATATGCTTGTGTTAAATTGTGTGTTTTAGTATGTTTCTGTTTATTTATGTTAATAATCTCTCTCACTCTATCATCTTTCTTCTTCTTTTTTCTCTCTGCGCAGATTATCTGGTTGTATGATCACAGAAGAAGGCTGCTCTTCTCTGGCTTCAGCTCTGAGTTCAAACCCCTCACACCTGAAAGAAATAGATCTGACCTTCAATCACCCAGGAGAGTCAGGAGTGAAGCTGCTGTCTGCTAGACTGGAGGATCCACACTGTTCACTCAACACTCTCAGGTATGAACAAGTGTGTTCAGAGGTGTGTGTGTTTGTGTGTGGAATAAGAATGTTTGAACTACTGAAGGCAGTAACTATCTGCTTGTTCTATACTGCTGACAGCTGTTCAGCATAATGACGCCAGTTCATGTAGGCTGTAATGTCAATGACTGCTCACACACTCCTAAACTGTTCTTACTCACTTAGAATGCAGCTAACTCTGCTAAACTGCTCTGACTATATTCACCTAGAACATAGAGCAGCTTTTCTTTCTTCTTGTTGGGAAGATTATTAACTAAAGGAAATGTTTAATAATTTTTTGTAAAGAATTCTATTTGAAGCTGAAATTTGTGCATTCTGTTACAAAGTGCAACTCTGACTTATTAGTTGGCTGTGTTGACCCAGTCTTTGCTCTTGAGGCAGAAAAGACTTTTTGTGTCTGCCGCTCTCTATGCCTCTCTACACTTCATCAGAGTGGATTTCAATTGTAGATCAGAAGGTGATTTTTAGTTTGATTTAGTTTGATTTATTCTAATCAGGATTGCTGGTGTGTTCTGGTCCTGAATTTGTGTTTGTGTTAATGAACATTGGTGTAGTACTGTGCTTTTGCTTTAGGCAAAAGAGGGGACTGTTTTCTTTGCTCAACTCTTGGTGTTGCAGAGCTTTATAATTATATATGGGGTTTGCTGCTGTGTAAATGCATCAATCTAATAATGCTCTCTTTGTAATGAAACATACATTTTTTTTTTTTTTTAAGTACTGACAATGTCCACTATATGCTCAGAAAAAAACATATTGTGACGTAATGTGACATAATTTACCATAGTAAAGATAAATATTGTCTCACTCCTGGAAAAATGCAAAAAAATAAATACATAGATAGAAACCTAGCTATTCACACCTTCTTTACTTTGAACATGAGATATTCATGAAGACATACTTGTGTCTTCTCCAGGAAAATTCAAAGAAGAAGCTGGCAAATAATAAGCTGACTTCAGGCTCGTAAAACAGTCAAACGCTGAGAGACATTCACAAGAAACTGTTCTACTTTTGAAGAAAAGTGTCCTGGTGGAGATGGGAGGAAAGCACCTATAGCTAAAGCTTAAAGCAGAGCAAAATAAATCTTCATTTCTGTTTATATTTTTAGCCTATACTAGGACATCAGCACATACTGAAACATACTGGACATAAAATGGTGTGGCTCCCAATGTGGTTTGATTTTTGTTGAAAGGACAATATGGATCTTCTTAACATTTGGGTTGTGACTCCTGACCTTACCTGGCTTTTAATGCAGAGGGTGCCGGTCGGATTTCTCACTCATCCAGTTGTGTTTTTATTATGTGCTGCCACAGAGTGTCCAGGAGCTGCACTTCCATGTTCCGCCCTTTGCGTTCCATCAACATTACATTATAAATTAAAACTTAAAAAATCGTTTTTTGACATTTGTGAATCGATTCAGAATCTTCCACATCAGCATCGTAATGCATCTAATTGACTCCCCCCCACGTCTAGCTTAGACTCTGTTAGTCACAAGGCTGTCTTGTGGAAACTAGTGCTTAATTGTAGTCCAGGGCCTTCTGGGCCATTAGAGAAAGCCTAATCATTTCTAGGAACAAAAAGTCTGTTCAAGAGTCATGCTTGTCTTCCAGGAATTGTTTTTCACTGTGTTACCTAGGTAGATAGACCTAAGCAAGCTCTCCCACTGGCTAGGACATTACAGCTGAAGTGAAGGCCTACGTGTTTGAAAAAACTATCATAATAATGAAGTGACAGAGGAATCAACCAATTAATGTTTAATTTCCAATAGACACGACTGATTTCTTAGAAGTTAAGAAAAAGTCATTCTAGGTCACAGGTTCCTGCTACAGGTTTCCCTCCCTGGTCCTGAAGTACCCTGAGACCTGCGCATTTTAGTGTTTTCCCTGCTCACAATGCACCCACTTGTAGTAATGAAGGGCTTGTTAATAAGCTGATCAGTTGGATCAGGTGTGTTGGGAGTAGAGGAAACACTTAAAACCTCAGGACAGGGGGTAATCCAGGATCAGTCAAGTGAAACTTTATTTATGTAGCACTTTTTACAAAAGGCTTGTCACAAAGCAGCTTTACAGGAAAATCTGGATCCAAGCCCCCATGAGCAAGCCAGTGGCAAGGAACAACTCCCTAACAGCAAGAGGAAAAAACCTTGAGAGGAACCAAGACTCAAAAAAGCATAAGCAAAAAAGTAATACAATAGTTGTATAAGCAGGGAATAAGGTTTCATCAATATAAGATATGGAAAAGAGGAAAAGCAAGAGAAGCAATGGCTATGATTATCATCAGTATCATCAGGACATTGAGGTTCGCACAGCGTTGTACAGCAGGAAGCAACATGGTGGTCAGACTAGTCTAGAAAGCTGGTGAGCAGTGGGCACCCGAGCACGGCAGATGAAGCACAGGATGGGCTGTTGTTCAGCTCTGCAAAGAAACACACAGGCAGTTAGTTCTGTTAAGAGAGACTGATTACAGTATTCAGTGTTAACAGAGTGCAGCAGAGACTCCACCAAGCTATTACAGCCTAACTAAAAGGGAGAGCCAGAAGGTAACAGAGACATGAGGCTCCCTGAGATGTCAGCACCCCTACGCTCCACCATTAACACATTTGAGTGAAAGTGTGAGAGCAGCAGGATGACAGCACCAACAATCCCAGTTTACCATAATACTCTATGTCCATGAACCTCCATATCTGCACCCTTTATCGAACAGGAAAAACTAATTACCAAAGGCTTAGTTAAACAAGTGGGCTTTTAGCCTAGACTTAAAGACTGAGGCTGTGAGTCCTGAACACTAACTGGAAGATTATTCCAAAGGTGGGGGGCTTTGTATGAGAAGGCTGTACCTCCTGATGTAACTTTATTATTTCTAGGTGCTAATAGTAAGCCCGCACCTTGTGATCTAAGTTCACTCAGGTACTGAGGATTGAGGCCGTTTAGAGCTTTATATGTCAGTAAAAGAATTTTTACTCAAGGGCAGGGAACCACTGCTTTAAGTCTTCTGGAAGTATTAGATACATCACTGACAGTGGGTTATTAGAAATGAAACAGTGGTGGCAGCTATACACCAGGGCCTGTATTCAGAAAGCAGATCAGGAGTGCTGATCTAGAATCTGTCAGTGTGATCATTGTAAATAAGACTTGAATCTAATAATAAATTAGCACTTCTGCTTTAAGAAGCTTTGTTAATATGAGCCCTGGGCTCTCTACCGAAAAAGTGACTGTGAAACTACAAATGTTAGCCTAATAAAATATGCTAATATGTGTGTCACAAGTGTCAAGTAAAACAGGGATTGTCTTTTAGAAAGTCTGTGTTGCATCTAGAATGCCCTAAAATGTTAATGCAAGTACTAGAATCCCATAAGTACACTAGTGTAGCCGTTGTGTGTGCATGTGTGTGTGCTGGCTCAAGTGCATCATCTGCACTCCAATAACTACTGTGTTGTGCTACCAGTGAAGAAGAGGATGACGATACGCTCAGCCATATGACTGGGAATTTATTTTCTCTCTGTGTGTGTGTGTGTGTGTGTGTGTGCAAAATGAATTCTTGGTCTCTCTTGAAATCAGAGCTTTCACCATCAGCAAAGTATTACATTATAAAACGTAAAATAATAAAATCCATATAAATACTATATTTCACAAAACAAAGAGTATAACTATACTGTAAATCACAAGTTTAGATTTATAAAATAAAATCTTATTCAAAATAAACATCATTCAATGACAGTAAACCACCAATTAATGTGCTGCACAGTCCTTATTGTAAATTAAAAACAACAGTTCCTGAATAATACTTAACAAATAAATAAGACTGCTTAATAGATGTTACTTAAAGTTAATTAGCATTGCTTAATTCTCAAGGTGTCCCTTTTCAGAACGCTTAAAACATATATAATAAGCATTATTTAAATGTATGTCCCCTTAATTAATTAATGAAGTGATCATCTTTTTGACCCCTAAAGTTGAAATCATGTCTACCATTAACAATACTTAATAAATGCATAGGAGCATCATAAGCATTATTTAATCACAAAGAGCCATTAATTTATGCAGTATGTAATCATGCATTTAAGCACAGTACTATTTAAGCTGTTTATTTTAGTTGTTAATTAATATTTAAACCATTATTACATGTGAGACTGTAGTTAATGGTGACTTAATGATGTAATTCATTAAGTTTTTATTCTAATGTTGTGATAATGTTTATTTTGTTTATTTCGGTTTGTTTCTTGGTGAAGTATCATTAATTAAAATGTTGTAAGTATTAATTAAGACTTTATTTGAATATGATTTGTATGATTAATTACTGATTACTTCTTTCTGTCTCAAGAATGTCTAAAATAATATTCTAATTATCTTAACTATTATTAGCTAATGATTACCTGAAACATTACGTAAGCATTCAGAAATGATTATAATTTACTTAAAAAAAAATACATTTAAAATAATGTTTGTTCACATGACAAATTACTGGTGTTTGTGGTCATGATATAAGGGCAGTCTCCAAAAACATTTAACTACAGTGTTTACTGACTGTGGTGTGTGGTCATGATATAAGAGCACTGTCCAAAACCTTTGGCCAAAGAGTATTTACTGACTGATGTGTGGTGTATGATCATGATAAGAGTAGTGTCCAAAAACCTGATGTGTGGTGTATGGTCATAAGAGGAGTGTCCAAAAACTTTTGTATATACAGTGTTTACTGACTATGGTGTGTGGTGTATGATCATGATGTAAGAGCAGTGTCCAAAACCTTTTGACACCAGAGAGTTTACTGACTGTGGTGTGTGGTTATGATATAAGAGCAGTGTCGAAAACCTATTGGCTACTAGATCAATTAAATGCCATCAGTTAATACATCAGAATGTTACAGATTACTGAACAGAGAAAACACACTAGCAGTTTATTTGATTAAAATAAAAAAAATCCCAATGAAAGAAACTCCTTGACAGTGTACAGACTCAGTGATCATAATTCAGACACAGAAAAAGGTTCCATAAGAAACACTGGAGGCCCAGAGAAGAACAACTCTGTAATCAGTGCAGCTCAGAACAGAAACAGACACCATCTTTTTCTCCTCATGCAGCAAATATAAAGATCTCAGAGAAGATTATTACAGTTCAGTTAAACTGATATCCATCATTTAAAGAGAAAATGATTAAAACTAAAGATATATATGCATGTGTTTAGGAGAGACACCAGAATGTGTTAAACTATCAGATAAATATGTTTACAGCTGTTACACACACAGAATGAAACACATTAACCTAATCACACATACATGTATTATTTATAATTGTGTGTGTGTGTGTGTGTGAGTGAGGGAGAGAGAGAGAGAGAGAGTACATATATATTGTTGATGTTTATATACAAGGATGTATGATTTTACATTGTACATACACATACATATCATATTGTATGATTTTACATTTTACCTTGTATGTATATATTAATATTTATATGAAAATGAATTATATGAATATTTTATTATTATTCTTTCTTTCACACATTCTTTTTTTCCTTAACATCTCCACATTAAATTTTTGTTTATCAGTTTTGGAACAGTTATAAGCTATTACAGCTATTAGAATTAGAATTTGAGATACCAGAGAGACAAAGAGAGAGAGAGAGAGAGAGAAACAGATAGAGCGAGAGGGAGAGAAACAGAGACAGATAGAGAGAAACAAACAGAGAGAGAGACAGAGAGAGAGAGAAACAGACAGAAAGAGAGAGAGACAGAGAAAAACAGAGAAAGACAGACAGAGAGGGAAACAGACAGAGAGAAACAGAGAAAGAGTTTTCACTGTAAACAATTCAAACAGAAAATGGAAATGTATTAAAATTTTGAAAAATGTACACACATTGAAAAATTACAAATAATCCTTGGGAGAGCCTGAGAGACAGTGGGTAAGACCCCCCATAACCCCACCCTATAATTGTAATGTTTACAATTATATATATATATATGTATATGTGGACAAAAGTATTGGGACACCTACACATTACACCCACAGGAGCTTTTATGACATCCTATTCTAAATAATAAAATAACTTGCTAATATGGAGTTGGTCCCCCATTTGCAGTTATAACAACTTTGTCTCTTCTGGGAAGTTTTCTGCAAAATTTTGGAGTGTGTCTCTGGAAATTTGTGCCCATTCATCCAGAAGAGAATTTGTGAGGTCAGACACTAATATTGGACTAGAGGGCCTGGCTCCCAATCTCCATTCTTCATTCTAGTTCATCCCAAAGGAGTTTGATGGGGTTGAGGTTAGGGCTCTCTGTGGGTCAGTCAAGTTCTTACACACAAACTCACCCAGCCAGGCATTCCCCAAGCTGTTTCCACAAAGTTGGAAGCATAGAATTGTCCAAAATGTCTTGGTATGCTGAAACATTAAGATTTCCCTTCTCGAAGGGTTCTAGGCCAATCCCTGAAAAACCCCATAGCATTATCCCTCCTCCACCAAACTTTACACTTGCCACAATGCAGTCAGGCAGGTAACGTTCTCCAGGCATTCGCCAAACCCAGACTCATCCATCAGACTGACAAATAGAGAAGCATGATTCATCACTCCACAGAATGTGTTTCCACTGCTCCAGAATCCTGTGCATTTTGATCTTATGCTGTAGTATGGCTGCTCGGCCATGGAAACCAATTTGTGAAGTTCCTAACACACAGTTATTTTGCTGATGTTGCTTCCAGAGGTGATTTGGAACTCTTTAGTGAGTGACTCAAATGAGGACGGGCACTGTGCGCTTCAGCACTCACTGGCCCCACTCTGTGAGTTTCTGTGGTCTATTGCTTTGTGGCTAAGCTGTTGTTGCTCCTAGGTGCTTCCATTTCACAATAATAGCACTTACAGTTGACACAGGCAGATCTAGCGGGACAGAAATTTCACAAACTGACTTGTGGCAGAGGTGGCATCCTATGTCAGTGTCATGTTAATGTCACTGAGCTGATTAGTATGCCCCATTTTACTGCCAATGTTTGTCTATCAAGACCGCAAGGCTATGTGCTTGATTTTATCCACCTGTTAGCAATGGATGTGGCTGAAACACCTGAACTCAATAATTAGGAGGCATGTCCCAATATTTTTGCATATATATATATATATATATATATATATATATATATATATATATATATATATATATATTACATACACACGTCAACAATATTGTTATTGTAGTTATTTGATATGATTATTATAAGTTCATGTTTTATTGCCATGCTTTAGCCAAAACTGGACCTTACAGTCATGACAATAAAGTTACATTGAACTTGAACTTGAGAGAAAGAGAAATGGAGAGAGAGATGCACAAAAACAGAGAGAGAAGAAAGTGAGAACATTTGAATGAATATATTAACATGTATGTGTGTGTCTCTCTGTGTGTGTGTGTGTGTGTGTGTTTAGGGTGGAACATGGAGGTGACATCAGAATCAAACCAGGACTGAAGAAATGTAAGTAAAGACGCTCACACACACATTAACACAAACACCCAAACATACACAAACATTTAAACATAATCACACACACACACACACACACACACACACACACACACACTAATCTCTCTTCTTGTGTGCAGATTCCTGTGAGTTCACTCTGGATCCAAACACAGCAAACAAAGAACTCTTTCTGTCTGACGGGAACAGAAAGGTGGAGCGTGTGGATGATTCACAGTCGTATCCTGATCATCCAGAGAGATTCAATGTCTATCAGCAGGTTCTGTGTGTAGAGAGTGTGACTGGACGCTGTTACTGGGAGGCTGAGTGTAGTGGTTTGGTTTATATAGCAGTAACATATAAATCAATCAGCAGGAAAGGAGGCAGTGCTGACTGTAAGTTTGGACGGAATGAAAAGTCCTGGAGACTGGAGTGCTCTAATAACAGATACTCTGTCTGTCACAATAATAACATCACTGCTCTCTCTGCTCCTCCCTCCAGCTCTGAGAGAGTAGGAGTGTATGTAGACTATCCAGCTGGCACTCTGTCCTTCTACAGTGTGTCCTCTGATACACACACACTGACACACCTACACACATTCTACACCACATTCACTGAACCGCTCTGCGCTGGGTTTGCAGTCGGTTCTGAGTCCTCAGTGTGTTTGAGATAGAATAACCGTCTGTGTGTGTGTGTGAATGAGTGTCCGTGTGTATGTATGTGATTGTGTCTGTGCGTCTCCTCTCTATCTCTCTGTCTTTCATTCTCTGTCTCTCTCTCTATCCTTTTCTCACTCTCTTTCTCTGTGTATCTCTCTGTCTCTCTCTGTATATCACTCTCGCTGTTCCTCTCTCTGTATATCTCTGTCCCTCTCTCTCTTTGTCTCTCTCTCTCTGTCTATCTGTCTCTCTCTTCTCTCTGTCTCCATAATACACTTTGAAGGTCTGTATTCAACATTTTCTTGTACTTTTTCATTTTGCTGTGCTGTATTTTGCCTCATTTAAAAAGCAGTTCAGTCTGTATTTCTCTGTTTTGTAGATGATTATGAGGATACAGATGATGTACAGAATCAGTGAAAAATCTACAATAAAGAACTGATGAAACTCACAATTATGTAAATTTCATAAAGTGTTGATAAAACTCACATCTGATTTACTGACACCTGTATAGATTATGTAATCTGAGTTTAAAGTTTTCAGGTTAGTTTGTGGCTAGTGAATTCGGTCATGGCTAGCATGTTATTTTGCAGTGGGTTAGGGCATGACTAGAAAGTTATGTTATGGTTAGCATGTTGGCTAGCGGGTTACCTCATGGCTAGCAAGTTAAGTCACAGCTAGCAGTTTAGGTTGAGGCTATCGAGTTAAATAATGGCTTTCTGGTTATTTCACTGCTAGCGGGTAAGGCCATGGCTAGCAGATTAGGTCATGACAAACATGCCAGGTAATGGTTAACAGGTTACGCTGCTACTAGCAAAGTAGCTTCCAGCTAGTGGGTTAGGTTCTAGTTAGTGGATTATTTCATGGCTAGCAGGTTAGGTCATGGCTTTGAAGTTAGGTCATGGCTAGCAAGTTAGATCATGGCTAGCAGGTCATCTCACATCCAGCACATTAGATTGTGGCTAGTGGGTTAGAGTAGCACGTTAGGTAATAACTAGCGAGTTATCTCGCAGCTAGCAGGTTAGGTTGCGGCTAACGGGTTAGGTCATGGCTAGCAAGTTAGGTCAGATTGGCTGGTTAGGTCATGGTTAGTGGCTTAGGTCATGACTAGCAGGTTAGGTCATTGCTAGCGGGTTAGGTCATGGCTAGCATGTTAGGACATGCCTGGCGGGATAGGTCATGGCTAAAGGTTTAGGACATGACTAGCAGTTAGGTCATGGCAAGCGGGTTAGGTCATGGCTAGTAGGTTAGGTCATTGCCAGTGAGTTAGGACATGGCTAGCAGGTAAATACGTGGCTAGTGAGTTGGGTCATGGCTAGCATGTTATTTCGCAGCTAGCAGGTTAGGGCATGACTAGCAAGTTCTTCACTGTTCTTCAGTAAAGGCAGTGGATCTATGTAGAACCATGAACACTTAAAGAACAGATCTGTGAGAATCAGTCTCTGTTACCAGGGAAAACCAGTTACTGCTGTTAGGAGTGAATTACAGTGAAAAACCATGAACATCATTGATCTTCTAATAGAAGCCTGTAATGATGATCTGTATGAATATGAGAAGAGCTTAGAGTATTGTGAGGCAGGTGAAGCAATGTCTATGTTTACATAGTTTGTGAGGCATGTGACACAATGTCTATGACTGAATAGTTTGTGAGGTAGGTGACACAATGTCTATGATTAAATAATTTAATCTGTGCAGGTGCCAGTATCATCAGGAGAGTCAGTGGCACTATGTTATGTAAATGTATCTTTTCAAAGGAGTTTTTATTACTTTTATTCCTATTACTGCACAAAATAAATTAGTCTGAGATAATCTCACTGGGCCAATTTCACATTTACATGTGTAATTAAGAATATGGGAAGAATTTTAGTCAACAGAGTAATCTCCTATCAGCTAATTCACACAGGAGAAAATCTGTACAACTGCTCCGAGTGTGGGAGGAGTTTCAATCATCGGATGAGTTTCAAAGCACACCAGCTGATTCACACAGGAGAGAAGTCTTATTCCACGCTCAGAAGAGGGATACAGATTTTCTCTTGGGTGAATGAGCTGGAGGTGTTGGAGATTAATCTGTTTATTAAAACTATTAAAGCAGGAATAAGGCTTCTCTACTGTGTGAATGTGTATAAGTATTGGGAGGAGTTTTACTTTTCCCCTTTACAGTAGATGTAGTCAGGGTAACGTGCAAACGGCTGACCTAAAGTGTGGACACCTCCAAAGATGTTGTCAAATAAAACACCAGCATTTGTATACTAGAAGGGGAATGTTTGTGAATGACCTTTACGTTGGCTTAACAATGCCATGTAAGGTTAAAAATGTGTGTTTAGAGTTTGGAAGAGTGTGTGTGTCACTTCCAGTGTGAATATGATGTGGTTTTAATCACTGTAAAAAATTTGCAGCTTTTAAACTTAAAGCAACCAAGTTAACTTGAACTGTTGAGTTCACAGAACTCAACTTTAAATAATAATATAACACAAATTATTCATTGTTAACTTAATATTACAAGAATTCAATTTCAGGTTAACTTGATTACTTTTTAAAGTTTAAAATCTGCAATGTTTTTACAGTGTGAGTTCAATCTGTCATGATTTAAAAAAATCTTACAAGAAACTATGGGCCTCACTCACCAACAAGAAATTTATGCAGTTTTCATGAAGATTCTGACATTCACCAAAGTTTTCTTTGGGATTTGTTCTTAGGTAAGAACAGAATCTACACACACTCAAGAGCACAAAGGTGTGAACAGCTCTGTGGTTTAAGAACACATGAGTCTGACGTAGACTTTTTCTTAGGACCTTTCTCAAGAACACATATAAGAACAAACTTAGAAAGATATTGGAGAATGAGGCCAAGTGTGTTCATTATTTTTAGTCATTTTTTTATTTGGTTAATTTTCCTTTTCTTCCAAGGTTTCTTTTCTTAGTGTTGACTGAGTGCTGTAGCTTTAGGGGTGGACAATATGACAATATTTATCATTTTGATAAATTACATCACAAAATGTCACAATTATATTTCGGAGCATATCGTGAATTTCATCAGTATTTAAAAACACATTGCATGTAAGAGAGCATCATTAATCCAGTTTAACTGGATTTAGTGTAGCTCAGTCTGTGTGAAAGGTTGAATATAAATCATAGTTTCTGATAGCATTTTAAAATGTGGCAATACTTAATCTTTTCCAACTTATCAGATGTCAAAGAATATATATATATATATATATATATATATATATATATATATATATATATATATATATATATATATATATATTTATATATATCATGAGATTGTGTTCTGTGTAAACTTCTGAAAGTATCATGATTTTACATTTTTGCCATATTGCCCACCTCTTTTGTAGGTATGTATTTTTGTTGGAATGGAGTAAATTACATTAAAAATTGGGTTGAGATGAAAAGCTTCCCAGTAAATTAACCTAACCAGAGAATGTGTGGTGAGTAGAACTGCTGCTTGATAATGACTTCTGGGTTTATTGAATGAGTTAAAAATAAATGAACAGAGAAAAGCATAAACACAGAAAAAACATGAAATATTTCAACATTGCTGTTATTTATTTATTTATTTTTTTGTGCTTTTGAGTTATAAAGTTATAAGACTTTCTAACAGTACCTCATGTACATTTATGACACCATTGAGCCCGAACCGCTTTAAATCAGCCATTCACCCCAAAACATTAAGAACTCATTCACAGGTGGCCTCGAGCGTTTTGCAGTTATTTTCTGATGTAATGGTATTGGCCAGGCTCAGTAAACTAGCTCTTATCTAACCACCTTTAGAACCTCCTCAAGGATTAATAACCTCCATAAAGTGATTCCTGTCACGGCTTAGGAGACTTGCTCAATGATGAGAATGAATTTTGGACCATTCCTCCTTGCAAAACTGTTTCAGCTCATCAGTATTTCTGGGATGTCATGCTTGAACAACTCTCTTCAGGTCATGCCACAGGATCTCAATTGGGTTAAAGTTGGGACTCTAAAACTATCAATTTCTAACAACAATCGAAAAAGAAAAATTACAATGCAATGCGTGCATAAACACATTTACCCTCACATGTACAAGCATAACATGATAAAAATGGTAAAAAGATAATAAAAGACCTAAAAGTAGTCATCAGGCTAAAACCAACATAGAACTATAAAAATGGATATCTGGTTTGGTTACTCTGGTTAAGTTAGCAAAGATGCTCATATGGGTCCTTCATGCATATTGTAAAGATGTCTGTTTTGGTCACTCTCAGTCAGGACCAAAGCCTGGAAGTACTCTAAATGATCTTACATGAAGATCCACAGTGATTCCACTACCTGAGACTGCCTTCTCGTCTGATAGGATAGTTTGGTGTAAGCAAGTCCTTGTCTTATGTTATAGCAACCATATCAAGGAATAAATAACACTGAAGGCACTATGCCCCTGTGAAAAGAACACAAAACCACCCAAGATTATCTTTTCCTTTCGATCTTGTTCTTTTCTGTTTTCTTTTCTGTTCTTTTTTGTTGCCTGCTTCGGTGGTCTTTCTTTTACTTTTTTATTACTTTTTATTACTTTCTTTCTTTCTTTCTTTCTTTCTTTCTTTTTTTCTTTCTTTCTTTCTTTCTTTCTTTCTACCCACCTGGGCCGAGGTACCGTACTGGTTACCCCTCTAGAAAGGTGTAACGCTGAGCTGCCGTTTTTTGTGAGCTTTTATGCAGCATTCCCCAGGTGCAACCTGTCAGCCCTGATTATTGCTAGGGCTTCTGGGAGTTGGAATAATAATAATAATAATAATAATAATAATAACAACAATAATAATAATGGCAAATGTAGCAACAATAGTACTAGTAATAATAAGAATAACTATTTTTGCAGTGTTTTGTTACTGTCATTATTACTGTTACTATTATAATTTTTTAACTTTTTTGATATCATGATATCATATCGGTGTTGTCTGAATAGTAGAACATTTCATAGCGTACGTTTGAGCCCACCCCTACCATGAAAAAGATACAGGTGTGATTGTGACTGGGCCAATCCCAGCTGGGAGGGTCCATATGTTTTCTCACCAGATGGGAGACCTCATGAAACAAATGTGCTCCTTCATTAT